CCACTGATGTCTTTCGGCTGCTCCCCCTCAACTCGCTGTAACTACTGCAAAATGAAGCTGCTGTTAGCTGGCATACGGCCAGTCCTCACAAATGAAGACCACTTTCATGATTTTTGAAGCACATGCATTTGCCAGAAGTAAAAAGCTGATATTAGGCTATAAAGGAACAAGTTCAACGTCACCACCACTAAGCTTTAAGTATCGTCGAGCAAAACTTGAAAATCTCTCAAGCTTGTGTTAACTATAGAGCTTATTTCAGGCATCTAACCAAAAACCCCATTCAAAAAACACACTGACTTTGAGGCAGGAAGAGGAGGTGCAAAAATGCTAACACATTTCTGGGTCTTAGGACTCATTCCTGCAGCACTGTCAGTATTTGGTTTCTACAGTCAAACTTAATATGTCCTAGTGCAGCTTTAAGTACAGTTGGGCTACTTGAGTAAATGTTACTTCCCACTGCTGCCTATAAGTGGACCACCAGCTGACTCCATCTGCTTCTTCTAACCGGTTTAACAAATGATACCTGGTGGGCTGTTTAAAGACCCACTGCTGTGTGGCTCTGTCAGAAATCCCATCCAAAGTAACACATGATGCCCTTGCCTGTACGCCTATTGCCGCTCCGTCAGTTGGATTGGCTCGTTCCACAACTGGACAGGAAGTGTGCTAATCTGCAACCCGATCCGGGGGAAGGAAGAAGTCAGGAACCAGCCTTCAGTGCTTTCACCAATCGTATTCATCACCAGAGCCGGACCGAGGCTCATTTAGAGCAGGAGCACGGCTTAACTAAACATCTTCTCCATAAAATAAATGCTTCCAGGTTACTCCCAGTCCAGGTTCCACTCAGAGGAGCATCTGATCTCAATTACCAGGAATGCTATAGGAAGCAGCAAGCCTCGGCCTGCAGCCTGCGCCAACGGCACCATGGCAACCAGCAGCACGTCTACGAGCCCCTGCGCAGATAGGAGTCCTTTTCAGGCACTTGTAAGGCGGGAAATGATGATTTGATAATTAGTTCCTGATGCCTCTCATTCTTTTTCAAATCAATCATGTCTAGGAAACAGAATGTAATTCAAATACAGTTTGCTGTTTGAAGCTGAAGAGGTTGGTCGGTTGGTATACTGAACGTCCACTGAGGAGTGATATATGGATGCCCACAGTCAAACAAACTGCAAGACTAAACACCAGAACAACGCAGAGCACTGAAAAAAAGAGAAAAAAATTACCAAGAACTGATAGTTAGGAGCACGTTATTGATGCAATTTCCAAGATAGATGGGTTTTAGAAGTGAATTGTCCTTGTACTTTAAACACAGTTCCCAAACATTTAAGCAGTGGGAGGGGTATAAATTAATTTTACTCCTGCTTCTAAGATCACGTTAGAAAACGGAGCAGAAAAACTAACAAAGAGAACAAAGAAACAGCAATAGCAAAATCTTATCATCATCATCTTAGTTCTATCATTGAGTTACTGTAGAATTTAAATACATTTTAAATAATATAATATAATAATAAATAATAATAATATTCAGGATTATTTGTGTAAAAACATTAATACAATACAAAGAGAAGGCAAGTTCTTATCGGATGTCTAACATTTTTATTTTATTTATTTTTTCAGTGACATTGATAATCATCACTGTATATCACTGGATCATCTGTTTGTTCTAAAACCTCAGGGGCTGCACACAAACACAACCTCTAACACCAGCAGACTGTGACAAGTGACAAGAAGCTGAGCCTCAAACAGTTTTGCTCTGAAGTGGTTTGTGACAACCACAACACATACTGTACTCCTTGAAGATGAAAATAAACTGTATTACTTCTGTTGTGTTTTGGCAAGATGAATCAGCTGACAACGTTAAAGACGGGAGACTTCTTTTTAAATTAGAGGTACAAACTGTAACTCGAATTACACTCACACTGGCACCAAATCATTCAAACAACAAAGTGAAATAGCTTTCTACATTTGTTGGAAAAACATATTCACTAACATAAACCGCATCTTCAGAGAGAGCTGAGGTCTGCGAAGTTTACAAGAATTAGCTGAACATGTTTTGGTCAAGATTGAACTTATCTCCATGTGGACATTGAAGACAAGCTAGTCCTAAAATTGCTACAGTATGCAGGAAATTACGCAGTTACTTCAACACTCAAACATCTCAGGTTTGGCACAGATGATGTCTCAGTGGGAAGGTATCAAAGATCAGAACCAGGAAACTTAACTGCACTATTATATTCCCAAAAAACGCAAATCATAGGAACATCGTATTATTTCTGTGAGGGACTGCAGGGTGCTTCCCGGCTTCAATAGAAATAATCTGAAAAGAGAATTTGTTAGTTAACGGTTTGTGTTTTGATCCCTGGAACAGCAGGATTGATCTGCTTGAGTGAAAGACAAGTGTTCGCTCCTCCCTTAATATCCCCCTAAAACCTTCAAAGAGCTGCAGAAAACATTCAGAATTCATTTTGTTTAGATTGAACATATGGCAGTCTGCTACAGAGGGACCTGTGTACTGTATTGGTACAAATTTGAGGTATTTGTATCTGAGTATTTTAATTTCATGTCACTTTCTTCTACAACAGCATTTCAGAGGGAAATATTACTTTTTATTTCACTACAGTTATTTGACAGATTTAGTTACTTTACAAATTAAGGCCATGTTTTTTTTACACAATAAGCTACTCTACACTATAGATAAACAGCTGAAACAATTAGCTGATTAATGAATTGGCTGATTGACAGAAAGTTCGTTATTTTTATCATTTTTATATCAAAAACCTTTAAGTGTTCAGCCTTTTCCAGCAAATCTGAAGATTTGAAGAATTATTTTAATTTATTTTAAATAATGTTGATGTTTGGCCCATTGGTTGGACTAAACAAGCATTGGTAAGATGTGACTCTGGGTAATAAAAGAAATGGTTTATTAATAATTAAGAATTAGAAATGTCAATTTACAGATTTTAATAGTTTATATAAAATAATCAGCAGATTAATCAATAATGAAGAGTATATTTACAGTGTTATTAGTTTAAGTAAAGGATTAGGGGACACTGCTGGTATTGTCATCTCATAGGACAGCCACTTTAACATTCAATATTCTGACAATATTGCCATTTCTAACATTATACTTAAAAAATAAGCTAACTGCAGTTTATATACATTTTTACATTATAATTTCGTATAATCATTGTTGTTCGCAGACAAACAACAAATTATGGCCTAAAAATGTGCTGTCTTCTTATCAGCCCTCTGCATGCATTTGCTGGGACTTGACCTTCATCCATTATTTTACACCAAACAAAATGTCCCTCAGACCGGGTAGTTTGAGATCACTGGACTAAAGACCTCTGCAGCGTACCTGTTCATGACAAATAACACTATATCCAGCTCCAGCAGTGGTTATTACAATGAATTACACTGTTAGGTCAACCAATATTAAATCTTTGACATAGTTAAAGTTAGCAAATGCAAAAAGATAGATAGATAGATAAATAGATAGATAGATAGACTTTATTAATCCCCGGAGGGAAATTGGGTTGTCATAGCAGCCAGGTACATTGAAATACAATAAAATACAATAGAATAAAATACAACAATAGAATAAAATACTTAGATAGAAAAGATAAAAAAAGATAAATAGGTAGGTATGGTGCAAAGAGTTGTAGTTGCAAGATGGTGGTAATAGTACTGATGACATGATGGTAGTGTTATTGTTAATAACAGTATATAATAACAATATTAATAATATTTATAATAATATAATAATACTATGTATATATAATATGATGACTGAACAGATATACATGTATACACATAGATATAATACATTAATATTGATATAATGTAAACATGTGTCATATATTCAGCCTGTGCAAAGTGTGCATACATACATACTGTAATATATATACACAATATATATATAATATGTACACATATATATATATACACAAGATATGATATGATATATAGCTATGTATAATAGATACTTGACTATACAAGAATATATACATACAATAAGTAATATCTTATTGTTATATTGTTATATAATAATAATAATAATAATAATAATAATAATAATAATAATAGTTGTCATATATAATAATAATAGTAATAGTAATAATAATATAATATTCGTAATATAATAATAATACATTGTATAAATATGATATATAATATCAACATGGTATATATTAACACATATCACATATGATTTGAAGTATATGTTCCACAGTTAGATTTAGTCCAGTTCTGTAATTGTGGATCTGACAGAGGCAGATGAGTTATAGAGTCTTATTGCAGTGGGGAGGAACGATTTTCTGTATCGTTCCTTAGAGCAGCGGGGTTGAATGAGTCTGTTGCTGAAGCTGCTCTTTAGCTTATCCAATGTTGTGTGGAGGGGGTGGGAGGGATTGTCCATGATTGCCAGCAGTTTTGCCAGCATCCTCTCCTCCACCACCTCCTCCAGGGTGACAAGCTTAGAGCCAACAACAGATTTAGCCTTTTTGATGAAATACTCTATTTTTAAGTTTTATGTCTTCAAAACCAATAACACATCAATCAGTTTTACAGGATGCAACTCCAAAAATATACTGTAGTTAAACGGAGACAGTTCATTGTAGTCTTATTATCTTGCTCACACAGAAATTGTAATGAGGATGTTAATTTGCCAGCAGGTGGAGATAGAGCACTTCACAATTTTTCCTTTAGCATTACTCTGTTTCTGTTTCCTGACACTGTAATAATTTGAATGACACATAAAAACCCATAATCACTTCAAGACAGAATTTTTTACTCTGCGACTACTACTACTTCTTACCTTTACATCAGATGGGTTTAAATATTATTGTGAGGACAATTTACCCACAAGTTCTGGTTAAAAATGCTCAAATCATTTGGTGTCAGATGCAGTTTCTTTGAAATGCATTGAAGACTAAATTGAGGAAGTAGAGGAAACTGTGTTACCGCCCATTCTCTAGATGATGTTATAAAGCCAGTCAGACCATATCCATATCAAAAGGCCTAAGTGTGGTTTTGTGAGATTACTTTCTAGAAACAGAATAACCCCCTAACCAAAATTAGTTCTGTTCTGAGAACGACCCACGTGTAGCAATCATGAAAGGTGAGTTCTAAAATGATTTAATTGAACACCCGGCAACTTAATTTGATGTTTTTACAGCAAGATAATTCATCTGTCATTATTTTTATAGAGTTTAGCATCGTGTCCATTTGGGTGTTAATCAACCTGTTGCTGCTGCAGAGCTCATCATGTGCTGGTGACTCAAGTGTTGGTAAGCAGTTTCTCATTCAATCACGATACATTTGCATAATTGCACGTCTTTATTGTTTAGACTGATCATTTGAGAATTTGGTTTGAGGATGTAGTAATTATAATAATAGTGTATTTCATTTCTTTCTTTTTTATAAAGCTTATAATACAAAACTGAAAATAGCCTAGTTGTGCTGTTTCATCATATTCTGTGACCATCGTGATTAAGTGTGACTGTAGGGGGCGCATTATATCGATGTTACTTAGTACATAAGTGATTGTTACCATTAATGTTGACATTTTTCAGTCAATAAAACAAGTGAAAGAGTACCTGACATAGGATATAGATGAATATTAATAAATATTGCATATTTTTGTTAGATTTTTAGGCACTGTCTGGACTGGAACTGTGACCCTACTGTTTCTGGAACAAAATCGAAATAATGTCAAATACTTCCCCTTTCTTTCCCTCATACAAACCTTTTGTTAAAATTGTGGTCACACTTTATATTGACACCCGAATATGGTGCAACACTGGCATCTCAAATATTTTTCAGCTACAGCACAATTTAGACTAATGCTTTTAACATATGAAACATAATTTAGAATTAAAAGTGCAGGGTTTTACTTCTCTGCTAATAGTTCAAAGCTAATAGTTCCTCATTTAATGTTATTCTATTATTATTCTATAATAAACTGTAGTAACTCTTACTTTGTCTTTGCTTCTGCATCCTCTCAAATCAACATTTAATGAAAAGTTAACATTACCTGTTGGCAGGGGAGTAATGTTATCATCAATAATCGGAATTCATGGTTTGCACTGCATATTCAAGTTAGACACAAAGAAAAGAATAAGTTATTGTCTGTAAAGCAGCAAAATACTGGAAGACAGCTTTACTTAAACAGCAATACAAAACAATAAAAAATACTTTATTATATTATATTACATTATAAATAAAAGTCCACCATTCATAATTTGACTCACAGTAAGTAAAAAGGATTAGAAGCAACATGTTCTTAAAGTACCAAAAATGAAAGTATACTTATTATATATTATTATGTTTTTTATTACATAGGCTATAGTTGTATTTAATCTGACTGTATTGCATTTTATTACATAGAGTTGTTGTAGTCGTATAAATTGGATTTACATGTATTTTTCTGATGACACCCACTATTTCTTTGTAGTATCAGATAAAAGACTGTTTTGTGTCCAGGGGTTTTCCCAGTGCATGCTGGGATATGCTCTATCAATGAGTGGATGTATGGATAAATAGACTTTAGACCACCGGGTAGATGTCTTTGTTGCAGTGCATCTTAAATAGTGTACTGCAAGTCATGCCGTAAGGAAACAGCATGAAAAAGTAGGAGTGTAGAATAGTATGTTTCATCTATGGTGTTGATTGACATAACTTAACTCAGACACAAGTCATTTTGCATATATTCATGTTATTTTTCAATAAGAAACTAAATTGTAATATTTTTAACTTGGATTTAGTCCACCTTGGTCTATAGTTATGCATCTGCATAGAGTTAGACCTACACCAACATCAACACATCAGAATAATTTGAAACAACATGCATGCATTCATGAGCTTGCTCCTTTTAGAAACCCACATGCTTATCTACCCTCTTATTCACAGCTAATAAGAGGAAGAGAAAAAAAAAGCTGCAGTGTCTCATTATCTCATTGAACTTCTGCAAGTATGAAGGGGGGACAGGAAGCTGTATTACAACGGGCAAGATTGTTAATGATGTGGGGAGATGGTTGGCAGCAACAACTTTTTTCTTCTTTTTTTATCTTGTCCACAGTAGTTTCTCTGTTCACACACACATAGTGACATTCGTGCTTTCTAGTACAAACACAGTCTGGTCCATGACTCAGCAAGTCCAGTAAGTCAAGAGTGTTGCTCATAGGCACCTCAGTGGTGGAAAAAGGAGGGTGAAGCAGGGGCCTTCTCAAACCTTTAGGGGAAGATTTACTACAACACACACAAAATTATATGTAAATGAATTTCAGGTTTCAGGTTGTCTGTGTTTGTTTCCCAGGCCTTTTGCAGTATCACTCTGAGTCATTGCCCCAAGCTGTTAATTATCCATTTAGTTTAGTAGGGGCTACATCATTGATCAGTTATTTATTCACACAAAGTAAGGTGATCATTTTCCTCCTTTTCAGTGAATCCCTGTTGTTACTACCCATGTCAGAACTCAGGAGTGTGTGTGAGATTTGGTACAGACCGCTACCAATGTGACTGCACTCGCACTGGCTTCTACGGAGACAACTGCACTATTCGTAAGTACAGCAAAATGTGCCTCTTTAAAATAAATCTGTCTGACACAATTTGGGTCTTTGAAAGAAAAGAAAAAAAATGAACCCCTAAACCTAAACACTGTTCTAACCCTCACCTTGTTCACACTAATGTGCCTCCTATTTTATTTGTATCTGCTCCTTACAGAGTCTGCAATGAGAGCACCAATAGTGCTCAAACTACAAAGTTTTAATCCCTTAATTTAATTGTGGTAATGTAATATTCAAAGAAGAAAACAAAAGGAAGTACTCACTAGCACTGTAGTTTTGCATTAAGAGATTGTCCTCCCAAGAAAAACATCAGCATCGGTCATTTTAGCAACTTCAACATATGTTTATGTTCAAGTAATGAAGCCTTCTAGTGGCAGCAGGTCAAAAGACGCTTCTATGTATTCTAAATTTTTCCATGTTCAACACAAGAATTCATACCACTTTGTAAAAAAAAACTTTTAATGTTTAATAAATGTTTCACACACATTTTACATTCACCAATTCTTTGTACATCAGCTGTAAGAACAACTTTTTGGTAGTCATGTTGTGGAAAATCTCATTCTTGATCTTTGTGTGCAGCGGAGTTCTGGACCAGAGTCCGTCTCATGCTGAAGCCCACCCCCACGGTGGTTCATTTCATCCTCACCCACTTCCAGTGGTTCTGGGACCTCGTCAACAGGTCCTTCCTGCGAGGCACATTCATGAGATTAATTCTGACAGGTAGGTGAAAGGGTCTAAGGTAAAAAACAGTATATATATATATATATATATATATAAAATCAAATTAGCTTGCACCTAATATTTCCCCCCCATTTAATGTAACAATATTGGTTTTAACAGCCTAGATGTACAGTATTTAGAGGCTGAATTATTTGCAAGTTACCTCAGACTGAGAATCGAGTTTAGCATCCTCTACAGTCTGTAGCATTCAAAACCATTGGTGCACATATATGTATATATATACATATACATATAGGTCACAAATATATAGTTTTATTCAAAAAAGGCTAAAAGATTTAATAAAAAGCTGTGCACTATAGTTTTGTTTGTTTTTGCAGAAGTAAATAGTGCATTTGTGGGGGACTATTTTCAGCTGCTTCAGCTTCTATTGTACGTGCACTGAACTACATTTTGTCACCTTCTCCCAAAGTCAGAAGCGAGGTTATTCCAAGCCCTCCGACTTACAATACCAAATATGGATACCTCAACTGGGAGGCCTACTACAACATCTCCTACTACACCCGGCTCCTCCCTCCTGTACCTGAAGACTGCCCTTTGCCCATGGGAACTAAAGGTGAGACCTACAGGACACAACTATACACAGACGACTCTGCTTCTGAATAAATATTGACATGTTTGTTTCTCTTCAGGTAAATCTGTTCTTCCTGATCCCAAACTGTTGGCTGAGAGGTTTTTTAGGAGAAAGAAATTTAGGCCAGACCCCCAGGGAACCAATCTGATGTTTGCCTTCATGGCCCAACACTTCACACATCAGTTTTTCAAGACCAACCATGAAGTTCAAGGGGGCTTCACTAATGCTTTAGGACATGGGGTAAGATACACACAGCAGTTATCTACAACAGATTTAAATCATTAATAAAAAATGAAACCAGGATTTAAGCATTATTGACAAATTTATTTTCTTCTCTGCAGGTCGATGCAAACAATATCTATGGAGACAACCTCATGCGACAGCTTCAACTTCGGCTTCATAAAGATGGAAAGCTGAAATATCAGGTAACAAAGAAAAAGCTCAACATTTTGGGAAATAAACTTATTTAGAGGAGAAGATCGATATCACTCACGTCTGTACTATGAAAATGTAGCAAGAGCTGGCAGCAAGTAAGATTAGTTGAAGGTAACAAAATCTGTTTAGCAGAAGTAGATAAAAATATGAAGTACAAAAATATTGCCACAGCTTTTTCATGTTTTAATATTTTATAAAACACCAAGAGCTGTTTCTTGTATAAATTCCTCAAATAACTTTTAGGCTACTTCCTGTGTTACACTAACTTCTGAGAAGGTTATGGTACATTTTACAGAGAGCAGCGACAGTGGAAAAGTGTTAAAGGGGGACAGCTGGCAGCGGGTTTATCTTGGGTTTGACATGCTTGTGATTAGGGTGTGAGAGGAAACTTCCGCGAACCATATTTATCTAAAAAACCACTATGCTTGAAGATTTTGTTTCATAAATAGGATATGTCTGTTACAAGTTAATTAAATAGTAAATAGTACAGAAAAAGTTTAAATTGCTCAGAGTCAAACTTTAAAATACTGTGGACTGTTTTCTTTTGTTCACAGGTAATAAATGGTGAGATGTACCCTCCAACAATATCTGAGGTCCCTGTGCACATGGTGTATCCTGAAAGTGTCCCTCCAGAGAAGCGTCTGGTTATTGGTCAGGAGATATTTGGCATCCTGCCGGGTCTCACCATGTATGCCACCATATGGCTCAGGGAGCATAACAGACTCTGTGACATCCTGAAAGGAGAACATCCCACCTGGGACGATGAGCAGCTCTTCCAAACTGCCAGACTTATCATTATTGGTAAGGGTCAATTCACAAGTTTGTGTCAGCATTGGGAAATTGTTTTTCAATGCAACAAATATAAAAATAATTCTAAACTTATAAGCCTGATATCTGGTTGAATTTTCAATAACTTTGTTATGGATTGTTTTCTTTTAGGTACAGTACACATAGTAAGTAAATAGATGTAGTAAAGTAAGTAGTAGTAGTAAAGTATCCCCCTTGGATAATTAAAGTATTTCTAATTCTGATTCTAATTCTGATTAGATAACATTTTATTTATATAGCATTTCAAGTCAGATACAGGTTTATTGGAATTTACCTTGGTGTTGTGGTGCATAATGGTCAAAATATCAAAGTTAGAAAAGAAAACAAGTACTGTAAAAGTCAACAGTCATTAATATAAAATAGAAATGTACAATTAGAATAATAATAATAAGATGTATAGGTATACAATAAAGAGCTGTACAGTGTCTGAAAACTTAAGACACTTCACAGCCTGCCTGAGAGGCAGCCACACCAGCAGTCCTCACAGCAAAATCATCACTCTCTGATGCTGGCACAAGAGCTTTTAAGTGCTGCATTCCCAGGCCAGGTGCAACTCATTGAGCAATCAGTGGCATACCTGGGCAGAGCTAGAGAGGACGGACGAGGAAAAGGGACAAACAGTACAGGGAAAGGCACGCAGCTTTAACACCTCCTCCCCTAAAATAATGAATAATGGTTAGTCACACACTCACACAGTACAAAAATATCTAAAGTTTAACACAGTGCTAGTACAGCACACATAGAGCGTTCCACCATACTATTTATTCATTGAAATGAAGTGCACTTAGCACTTAAATGAGGAAACAAGTGTTACTTACCAAAGTTGTTTGTTAAGGACAGCAAACAGTCAATCTACAGCCTGACTACCCCTGAACATCTGCACTAATCCATATTGAACAATGTTGCTGTTGCCCAGTACACAAGACAGCTCTTTATACCTCAATATGAAGCAACTGATTCTCACAATAACTGGAGACAAAAGGGCTATTTTTTTTTGTCTCCAGTTTGTCTTTGTTTTCAGTGCAATCCAATAAAACTCAAATAGTAACTTTATGAGGCGTATAATGGTCAATATTTCAACAAAAAAAAATGGTTGTAGCTTTGAATCAACAAAATAGGTGTTGATTCAAAGCTACAACAATTTTTGAGTGACTCTTTGTGGTGCTGATTGCATGTTTTTGGAAGGTGTTTCTGTCTGGCAACCAACAATCTCAGGACTTTAACTAGTGAATATTTTCATGATTAATTGATTTGATTAGTCTGGTGATTATTTTCTTGGTTAATCAATTAATTGTTGGGTGTATAATAGGGAAAAATTCATCAAATGTCCAAATTTAAATAAATGTACTATTTAAGGCCAAGAAAAAAAAAAAAAAGCAGCTAATTCTCACTTCTGACAACATAGAATCATCACATTTTTGCAATTGTTTTAACAAATGAACAGCTCAAATTTCCATTCAAGTTTCTTTATTTTGATAAAGTTTGGCCCCATGTATGACATCAAATGATGACATTTTTTTTGTCTCCCAGGGGAAATAATCAACATCATAATAGAAGAGTATGTGCAACAGCTGAGTGGCTACCTGCTGAAGCTGACGTTTGATCCCTCCCTGCTCTTCAACGCACGTTTCCAGTACAGCAACCGCATCGCTCTGGAGTTCTGCCACCTCTACCACTGGCACCCACTGATGCCTGACAGCTTCCTCATAGATGGAGATGAAATCCCGTACTCCCAGTTTATTTACAACACCTCCCTCCTCATGCACTATGGGGTGGAGAAACTGGTAGATGCCTTCTCCCGACAGCCTGCAGGACAGGTAGATAACTACCCCCCACTGACTGTGTACAAGAAGCGTATGTTAGGGGTACAAGGGTAGGCAGTCTTGTTACATTTAAAGTACTGTACTGAAGCACAATTTTGAGGTAGATATACTTTTACTTACTTTTAAATTATTTTATTTATTTATTTATTTGCATTATTTTATATTATTTAAATCTACTTTATCACATTTCAGTGCCAAATATTGTACTTTTTACTAATTTATCTGTCAGTTATAGTTATTTTTCAGATTAAGATTTTACATAAAAAACACATTATCATCATATAAAATAAGTTAAGTCATCCTTTAGTAAAACTATTGTTCAACATTTAAACCAGTGATTTCCAACCTTTTTAGCTTGAGGCCCCTTCTTATGTTTCCCCTCTAAACTTCTAAGATAGTTTTATAACTATTTAAAGGTCCAGTGTGTAACATTTACTAGGATATTTACAGAAATGGAATATAATATTCGTAGTTATGTTTTCATTAGTGTATTATCACCTGAAAATGAGAAAAGTTATGTTTTTGTTACCTTTTGAGCCGTTTTTCTACAAATGGGTCACCATCCATGGAGTCCGCCATGTTGCACCACCATGTTTCTACAGTAGCCCAGAATGGACAAACCAAACACTGGCTCTAGATGGGGGCGTTTACATTTTTGGGTATTTCACAACCATCGCAGTTTTGCCTTCACGTTTTTCCTTTCACATTTATGTGAACCATACAGTCTATGGTGAAACATATGATGACCTGTATTTTTATTACAGCAGGTCAATTCATCCTCAGGGGACATCAGGTTATGGTCACAGAAGGTGACTTTTTTTCTTCTTTCCTGCCACATTAATGATCTCATGACCCCTCAGATTTAACTTGTACCCCTAGGTTTGGCACCACTGGACTAAACTGTCTAATGTACTAGTTTTTAAGTCCTTAAAACTAGTTCCATCTCAACCAGCTGCAACAATAATGCTTCTCATGGTGACATTTATCACAGTAAAGACATAAATATACGACAGGAAACGCTGTGAAGGAAGTTGAGCAACTGTCGATTCTTGTCTGAAATGGTTGCATTGGCAAGATAAAATCACTGACATGCAAAACCTTGTTCTTAAATGCCTTTAACCCTCTGGGTACAAATCTTTTAACTTTGCTCTGCCAGTTATCACATATACGACTTTGTTCTCAGGATATATAAACGATCACAGAACAGTGGGGAGATCTCTCATCTCACAGCGATGTTTAGATGTGTGACTCAGCACGTATTTATAACCACTAAACCACCCCATAACCACTTCCTAAAATTCAAGAGATAATACTATAATATCTTTCAGAAGCATCATATGTGCAAAATGTTATTCCTTATAATTAAGATGCACAGTGTTGATCACTGACTGTTGTTTCATGCAAAGCAAAAAGGGGGAGGACAGTTTACAGGTCTCACAGGTGGATTACCACAGAATTATTTTCACGGTTGAGTTAAATAACATTGTGGTTTAACTGTTTGTCTGTGTTGCAGATAGGTGGAGGTCACAACTCTCATGAAGTAGTACTCAAAGTGGCAGAAATGGTCATCAAAGAGTCTCGAGCAACACGTGTGCAGCCCTTTAATGAGTACAGGAAGAAGTTTAGCCTAAAGCCGTACGCTTCTTTTTATGAATTTACTGGTAAGCAAAAAAATGTGTCTTGCTTCTGAAACTTTATGCTTCAATCTTATTACCATCATTTTGTATCTGATATTGGAAGAAATAAATTATATCGTAAGAGGATACTGAGATCACTTTACATTACGTCAAGTAACTTTTTTTTTCTTTTCTTGAAAACTGCTCCCAGAGCTTAAAAAGAAGAAATTACTTAATAGTAATAAACTAAATACATTTTGTAGTATTAAATTAAATAAGTCGCACAGATGACCTAACCAACAAACTTCAAACCACTGAAGGGGGAACTGGCACTAGAGGAGTTTGCAGTCCAATATAGCAACTGACACGCGACTCTGTGCACTTTATCACAGTGGGGTTCAGAAGATAACATCGGTATGCTTACATGCTAACAATGTATGTTAACATGTTGATGTTTAGCAGGCATAATGGTTACCATGATCACCATCTTAGCTTAGCTGGTTAGCATGCCAACATTTGGTAATTAGCTTGAAAAACAAAGTGCAGGAATGTCATTGGTTTTGGTGTTCACAAACCAAAGTAGCAGACGTATTCAACTGATGGCACACGATGAAAAGTCAGGGGATCACCAACGTTATTACAGTTCCTCCTGTGGACACCACAACTATGTTTTTGAAGTGGGTGGTTGTTTCACATGTATGTGACACATACAGTTTATGGTGAAACATGAAATAAATAATAGTATGGGTATGGTTAAGAACCATTTAATTAACAGCTGTTTTCTCTTTCCAGATGACTTAGACATGGCCAGAGATTTAGAGGAACTCTATGGTGACATAGATGCTTTGGAGTTTTACCCCGGTATCCTGTTGGAGAAAACACGTTCTAGCAGCATATTTGGTGAGAGTATGGTTGAGATAGGGGCTCCCTTCTCCCTGAAAGGCCTGCTGGGAAACCCCATCTGCTCCCCTGAGTACTGGAAGCCGAGCACCTTTGGGGGAGAGACTGGCTTCAATATCGTCAAAACGTCTACTCTGAAGAAACTGGTGTGCCTCAACACAAAGTGGTGTCCGTACGTCGACTTCCACGTTCCACGAAATGAGGAAGAAGCAAAACCAAGAGAACCGTCTACTGAACTTTAATGAATATTCACCTTAAGATATGTAATTTCATTACTCACCATCAGTTTATTACTATGCAGCTTGTGGGAGATGAGATACTATAGTTGCCCATGTGATGTAAGTTTCTGTCACAATTCCAATCAGATCGGATTTATTGTTGTATAAAAGGTGATGGAAACTACATGTGCTAATTCAGTGGTTTTAATCCTCCCTGCAGTGAATAAAGTACTGCATATTCAAACCGGTCTACCTCCTGAAAATAGAGCTGACACATCAAGTGGTTACTAGAGATCTGGTAAAATCAATTTACTATTTAGCTTAAAAATTCCTCTGAACCTTGGATATTCATTTTCGTTTTCTTATAGTCTAAATATGTTTTTCTGTCTTTTTACCTCTTATTTTCACAGTGGAGGTATTACATCATGAATCTTTTTGAAGACCAAATAACAAAAACACCTTCTGTAAACATAGCAGTAACATTAAAATTACCTGTTCAGAGAAGAGAGTCAATTCACTGTATGTAAAAATTTTAATAAAAGTAGATATAGCATATATGAAATATAATTGCTGAAGTACAGCCTCACAGAGCAACTAGCATGACTATAGACTCTTGTTACATGATGTGCAGGTTTTGCATTGCATTTAAAATTAGGAAAAAAGTACGGTGGCTAGACATAATGTGTGTGTTTCTCATGCTGACAGGATGCAGAGGGTGGTGTATCACCTCGTGATAGTGTGAGAAAAATGCTCACATACTACTGTGGTTTTTGTTAATGTGCAAAAGAAAAGATACTTGTGTGTCAAGTGTGAATTTAATGCTTACCATTTTAGAATTGTCAGTAATGTGCACTGGGTACATGCTGTCCTGTAAAGTATGTAGCCATTCAATGAAACCATTTGTGTAACTCTGGTGTTGTGAATTCATTATGGCTCATGTGAGTATTGTCCTACTGTCTTTTTGTGTCTATACTGACATCTAGTTTAAATATATTTTTTGTGAAGTTACCACGAATTTATACTGGTTTAGATGAATTTTTACTGTATGGTCAACTATTAATTTCATGTGTAACTGAAACACCAATGTCTTTTAAGTTTGGTTGTACTGACCCATGCTGTGGGTTACATTTTAAAGATTGTTGAAGGTCTGCCAGTGTGGTGGGTAGGAAAATTTCAGCTGCTAGTTGGAAACTAGGCCCCTTTCACAGAAGACATTTTGACATGTTACGGTATAAAAGCACAGGTGTAAATCATAAAATTAATAATTGTTGAATTAAATTTTGCTGCTTCAGTTTCAGGTTTCTGGTATTTTGCCACTGTCATACTGTCATGGCTTATTTGAATAAAACAGAGCCATCATTAATGTTATTAGTAACACCTGTGCTTTTCCTACTCTGACAAGTCCCAATTTCCGCTGTGAAAAAGCCCTATTAATGTTCAAACGGAGACATTTGACTTTTGAGAGAGTACTACATAAATGATATACTATAAAGAATCAATATGCAGCAGCTGAACTGCCGCTGGAAGAATTGAGACCTGATTGTCCACCTGATGCTGCATCATGATAGCAGTCTTCATCTTCCATTGTCACAGAACAAGGCCAGAAAATTACACTTTTAATTCTGTCTGGCAGAAATATAACAGTATCTCCTGAAACTCAAGTATGAACTGTGTTGAGTCTGAAAACAACAGTGCACTGGCAAGAAATGTTGGACTTTGGGGACCATCACGGCTCCAGCCTCCACGTAAGTGTTTACATTTCTCATTCATCATATTTTCCCACTACTCTCTTCTCATCCAAGACCCCCTGTCATTCCTCATGCAACCATACCACCAGCCTTACCTTTCCTTATCCGGATTTTCCTCAACACCATCAAACCAGAACCGTAATAGGGGCTTCCTTGGCACAAAACCAGGGAGTAGAACTTTAAGCAATAACCTTAACCAAACCAAAAAAATCTTCAGTCAGTGAAATACATTAATAACAACTGCTGTGAAACACTTCAGGGATGCTTTGTACCACATTTGTCTACAGGCTCCCTTGTAGATTAATGTGAGTGACGTAGGCTACCTATTCTATATATAAAAACTGTCATTAAATTTCAAACAAAACTCTTTTAACACAGTCTTTGTCCATAGCAGAGGCCTGGACAAGAGTTCTCATGCTGAACCAACCCCAGCATCATTCACTTCTTCCTCACCCACTTCAACTGGTTCTGGGACCTTGTCAACAACTCTTTCCTGCGAGACACATTGATGAAAGTGGTGCTTACAAGTAGGCAATCATTTGCCATTTTACATTGTTGGGAAGAAGGGAAATTGGAGAGAAATGAGCTTCAAAAAGGACGTAAAGATAGAAATATATTAAAGGTTTGGGTCATATTAATTGCTTGTTACTTAAGACATGGCATGGTGGTAATATTGGTGTTAAATTTTTTTTTATCATTTAAAATGCAGCTGATTTAAAAGTTTGTCACCTGTTTAAACATGATGACCACAGTCAAAGATAATTATCATTCAGTTAGAACCAGCATTATTCACCAGCTTCCTCATAGATGGAAATGAAACCCTGTACTCCCAGTTTATTTACAACACCTCAAGCCATACACCTCTTTTTATGAATTCACTGGTAAACTGGAGTTATATTGTAATGATCTGTTGCTTATATAGAGCAAGTTTGTGTTTTTGCTGACATTGTTTAAGTTGTAACTTTATGTTATTTCACTATAGGTGAAATTAGACAGGAAAGTAATCTTGTGTTGTTTCTCTTTTCTAAATCAGATGACAAGAAAATGGCCAGAGGTTTAGAGGAACTCTATGGTGATATAGTTTTACCCTGGCCTTTTACTAGAAAAGGCACGTCCTAATGGCATATTTGGTGAGAGTATGGTTGAGATGGGGGCTCCATTCTCCCTGAAAGGCCTGCTGGGAAACCCCATCTGGTCCCCTGAGTACTGGAAGCCGACCACCTTTGGGGGAGAGACTGGCTTCAGTATCGTCAAAACAGCTACACTGAAGAAACTGGTGTGCCTCAACACAAAGTGGCGTCCATATGTGGACTTTCATGTTCCACAAAATGAGGAAGAAGCAAAACGAAGAGAACCGTCTACTGAACTTTAAATGACTAATTAGCCTAATGAGCTCTGATTTTATTGTTTTCTAAGAGCTTATCACCTTTCTATGCTTTCTGTATTTTCAAAAGTGTCATAAATGATTGTTGTAGTTCTGTAATTCTGTTGTTATTCTGTATTTAAAGGTCCAGTGTGTGGATTTGTTACATCTAGCAGTGTAATTGCAGATCGTAGCTCCCTTGCTTCACTCTACCATTCCAAGCACGAAGGAGAAACTACAGTGGCTGCGGAACATGTGAAAGACGCAAATGCCCCTGGTTATTTATTATTTTGTGTTGATTCTGGCAGCCAAAGATGGTAATGTTTCCACTACCTTGTTTCGTCTGATTTGTGGAAATCTGATGTAATCTGACCTGGTGGCATACATTAAGAATAACTATACAGAAATAGCTTCTTGCTGATGGTCTTGTTTGTTTTTGTAGGTTATATAGACGTATCAGTATTGAACCAGTTGTAAACTCCTGCTTCAAAAGAAACATCTAAATACCACTGGCATTCAAATTAATTTAGTACATGTACTTGTTCAAATAGGATATAACTGAAAATACTTTCAAATGCCAAAAGGTGTGTGTAAAAAAACAGCCTAATTGTTTAGCCAGTCTTCTCGCTGATGGCCTTGTTTGTCTGTGTAGGTCATATAGAGGCACCAATATTAAACTGAAACCAAAACCAGTCAAAGATCCTTAGCATACTTTCAGGTTCCGCAGAGCTTTTTCGCAAACAACTTACTGAGACACTGTCACAAGATCTGGAGTGATGACATTTGGAGCACATGGTTATAGTTAGAGCTTTTAATAATGTGCAGTGAATTACATTTTAAATTAAGCATGGCTTCGTCCACTGAAGCATGCCCACGTTTGAGTTACATGCAAAAATATCACTTCGGACTTTGGTTGTATTGTCTAAATGTTTATTAATACAGCCCCTCTTACCCTCCTTTGGTTTCAAAAACGGTGTTAACAGTCAAGTAGCTTGCAGAGAATGAGTAATCACTGAAACTCATTGTGTACAGTCACAAATAAACACATTATTTTGCGGCAAAGTAAAATATCCTTGGCTGCTTCACTAAAGAAGTCAATATTGTACAACATATTAAAGTCAAACTGTACTAACCCATAACCAATAACAAATTATGAGTGAAACTTTAATAAAATGAACACTACACATGTACATTTTCTCTTTCATGTTTCAGTAGGAAAATAATGAAAATTAAAAAGTACGATAAAGTAGGAAGCAAGACTAAAAGTTTTATTTAGAAGTAGCCTGCACTATAGTCAAACTGTAACATGACAGTAATTAATGTAACCACATGGAAGAAAGTGCTGTGCTAAAGCTATGAATACACATTTACAAAAAGATGTGGACGCTCATACCGAATATAGCCCCATACTTTTTTTTTACGGAAATAGTTCAACATTTTGGAAAGATAATTATTCATCTTTTTGCTGAGAGTTAGATGAGGAGATCAATACCACTCTCATGTCTGACAGTTAGCCTAGCTTAGCATAAAGACTGAAAGCAGGCAGCTATCCTGGCTGTGTTCAAGGTTAAAAAATATTCTCACCAGCATCTCTAATGCTAAGAAATTAACATGTCGTATGTTTGTTTTATAAAAACAAAGATGTAAAAACGACAAGTTGTAATTTTATGTGGAGTTTTCATTCATTTGAAAATGCTTTCTCACGGTACACCAATTTATGAGGCACATTTTCCTCATCATGGCTTTACGGTTGGTTGCTCATGCGACTTGATGCCCTAATCTGTAGCTACTTACTCTGATGAAATCTGGCAGTCGATTGGTCATTCTCCTGAGTGTTAACTAATGGGGAACTGAACGGAGGTGCAGCGACTGAAGTGGAATTAGAGATTGAATTAATATGAGTGCTAGTGCCTACTGCCATCGGAGCAGTGGCTGCTGGGTAAAAATGGACATCCACTGCAACTGTAGTGAGGCCCAAAGAGACATGGTGAGAAAGAAGCAGGGGTGGGTTGCTATGTGAGATGCTGAGGCTGTGGTGGATAGGTGCTACACATGCCTCAGCACTCTGTAGGGTTAATGAGGAGCGTAGACCCTCCTCAAATCTGGATGGTGGAGAGGGGGATGGTGAACGGGAGGGTAAGGATGACGGAGGAGGCAAGGCATCCTGACATGGGCTGCGGTTGTCTCCTCTGTTACTGGTCCAGTCCTCAGCACACTGCAGCTGGATGCTAGGCTGGGACAAACTGCCGCCCTTCTCCTCTTCAAGAGAGGGATCAATCTGAAATAGTAAGGAAGGAACTCCTTAATGATAACTTATTGACAAATAAACCGCGTTTAACCACAGTGCGACCCAGTTAGTTCAATCTATTCATGCCCAGAGGACCTCTAAAAACAATTTACTATATCATGTTGATGTGTTTCTGTGTTATCAAACCTTAGTGTCAAGAATGGGCTCGGGATAAGTCTCTACAATGACCGAGTGGTTGTCCAGAGCGGGTTGTGGGTCTTCTTGAAGATCCTCAAATGTGGGCTCCATCTGAACCGTGACCAGGCTTGGTCCTGGAGGTCGGGCTCGGGTGTCAGATGTGTTGGGGCTCTGCTCAATCACAGCCACACAGTCATCATCTTCAAAAGCTCTGTGCAAGAAACACAACACTATGGTTTCCTGCATCTTTTACAAAGAGGCAAAAAGATCAGTTCTCATTAATTTTTTCGTCTTGTATGATTTACCTGTTTTCATATGTTCGTCCTGCAGTTCGACGTTCAGCGTGTCGTATAGGGACACCCAGATTCCTCTGAGCTGTCAAGGACATGTAAATTGGCTCTAAAGGAATAGTTTGACATTTTGGTAAATATTCTTTATTCGCTTTCTGGTGGAGAGAAGATCTCATGTCTGTCTATCTGCCTGTATTAAATATGAAGCTAATTAGCAGCTGGTTAACATATCTTAGCAACAAGCAAACAAGAGGGAAAGGGGAAAACACAAATCAAACCATTAAAATATAATCTGGTAGGTAGTGAGCCTTAGAGATTCTGGTGGGCAGATTTAGTTACCTTTTAAATGAGCCAGGCTAGCTGTTTGCTCTTGTTTCCAGTCTTTGTGCTAACCTAAGCTAATCAGCTGCTGGCTGTATCCCAAAATTTTAAATAGCACTCCACTAATTCAGCATTACACTAATATAACATAGTTGAACTCACTAGACAAAAGACTCATAATTGATGCAGCAGAATCAGAGATAACTTATTTTTGTCCTTGTCAAACCTGGCCTACATTACCCACAATGCAGCTAGACTGCCGTAAGTTAGAACATTCTTTCATCTATCATTTTCAAAAGTGTAGTCCTCTTCCTTTCTGTCTGTCTTTCTTTCTATCTTTCTTTACATATTCAGTAGAATTCCCCAAATATTGTTGAAGGTTTGAAAGTTAAGTTTCCCTTTAACAGACAGACATAAAAGTGGTATCACTACCTCTCCACCCTAAAACAAACAAGAGTATTTCCAAAACGTCAAACTATTTCTTGAAGAATAATGATTTATGGAAGTTTTACATGCTCAAAAGGTGATACAGTTATGCAGACATTTGAAGTGGCTGAGTATCTCTGACCTGCTCGGCTTGTTGGTGCAGGTTCATTCTTCTGGACCACAGAATAGAAGGTAACAGTGATGAAGATGAAGGCCAAAGATACACCCACTCCTACCACAATGGGGATGTCATGTTTCTCCAGCACAGGCAACCATGATGGAGACTGCTGCGTCACTCTGGAGTGTATAACACAAACAAACATAAAATCTGGTTATTTTGCTGCATTGCTGTGCTTTTTTAAGATTGCCACATAGCAGAATCTCCATCTGCACAATATCCATCACTCCACCATCTTTTTTATTTCACCTACCTTGGATCATTGCTGGTCATAGGTGATTGGGATGTGTTCCTCTTCAACCACTCTGTTAGCTCTGTGTCATTGGTTGATTTAACTGACTGCACAGGGACACCTTGCTGGCTACTATTTAGATGTACCTGATCGGACATGTTGATCTGATGGACAACAGGAATCTCAGGGTTCAGTGTTGAAAGATTGGAGGTCTGATTGGGATGATGGTTGGTTGAGTCTGAAGGCTGGATTTTAAGAGGATTTCTGTGTTGGAGTGGTGGAGTTTCTGTCTGTGGTAGAGGAGCTTGTGAGTGGAGCAGAGGATGTTGTATTGGAGATGACTGAGTTTGGGTTTCAGGCAGTGCAGATATGGTCAAAGTTGGTTTAGGTAGTGCTAGCAAAGGTTGACTGTGAGTTTGGGATTGTGGAGGTGGAGGTTGTGTGGAAGGCAAATAAAACTGTATTGTCGATAGCTCAATTTTAAACTTCGGAAAAAGGCTTTGAGGAAAAGATTGTTGAGGATCAGATTGAGATATTTGTGAGAGGGTTGGTGAAGACTGTGAATGTGTTTTCTGATGTAGAGGTTGACCTAAGTGCTCGAGTTTGGTTTGAGTAATCTGGGTTGAAGTTGACTCATAGTAGGATTGGTAAAATGTACTTTTTGTAACCAACTGGTGAGGCTGAATTTGAGATTTGTGCAATTTAGCTTGTAAAGCAGAAGACTGGGTTACTGACTCAGAGTGGCTCGCGTTAGTTTCAGTTACATGACTCTGTGTTGGAGTCGGCAAATACAAATCCATCTTGAGAAAGCTAAAGGGTCCACCCCCTTGAAGCTTTGACGGTGGTTGAGACACGGGCATCTCAGTGAAGGATTCTGTAATTTCACTGGCTAGAGACACAGCATGGATGTTAGAGACCTGAGAATCAGGCTCTGTCATCAAATGGTCGCTGGTTTGATGCTGAACTTGTGTATGTGATGATGTTAATGTCCAATGAGATTGACTCTCTGTGAGTACATACTGAACAGTTGTATGCAACTTGTTACTGGTGACTGCTGATGTTGGGTCGTGTGTTATTGGTGGTCCACTGTTTAAAATTAAAGGAGGATCACTAGTCACTGGCCGTTGGGTGTGGAGATCTACTGACTGGAAGTTGGGATGTGGAGGAGGTGGTAATATAGGAGGCTGCATCTGAGTGACTAACGGCTGGGTTGGATTGGTTGTTGGCTGATTCAGGCGGTGCTGTAAAAGACGGCCAAGTGACCCTGGAGGCATCTTTAGCTCAGCCACCACTCCCCTTGAAAATGCAGAAAATGTGGTAGCTCTGCTTGTTGTAGTATCACAGTGTGATGAGGAGCCTGGAAATAGTAAAAAGTGAAAGATGTTCATGTTTTCTTTTATATACCCAATACAATTTCACCAAAGTAATGGCTCAATATTGGAGCACAGCAACATTGCTAAAATTATGTCTAATGGGGCAACAAACTCCAGTTAGGAGTTAGTTATCAGGTTGTAAACAAGCTGTCAGTGTTGCCAGATTAGCTTTCAATTGAACACGCCTTATATGTTGCTTATAAACCCTCATTGCACAGGAAAACCCTGATTGTGCATAACTACTGTGTTAGTGCAGTTAGTAAAAGCTGAACCAGGAGGTCCCTCTTTACACGATTTTACAGGGAGACTCTACTTCAACTTGGACTCTCGATGGACCACTACAACCTCCTGGAGACAGCCAAAAGCATCTGTGGGCAAATTTTTTTTAGCTTTCGGAGCCTGTCTACTTGCACTGTAGAAGAAGGTAATCAGAAAAGAAAAGCACAACACAACTGTGCTCAAACAATGAGTACAACAGACAACAAAGCAATTTACAGATACATTCTGACGTAAATGTTGTAAACTTTAACATTTCTTCAAATGAAATCTAAAAGATAACATTGTAATATTAGCTCACGCAGAAAATAGTGTTAGCATATTAGCTTGCTAACCGATATGTTTGCTTGACTACCCCACAGATGCCTTTGCTTGTCTCTGTTGGTCATGTGACTCTTGGCTTGTAGGTGGCAGCAGCAGATTGAGACAGTTTGGGTTGCCATTATTGTCTGACTTTATACACTGTTGTTGCCCCGTCATACCTATTTTCTACTGATGTTGTTGCAAGATCTCAGCATTTACCTTGATGAGTACAAAGTAATCATAAGCCATTTCACTGATGGTTGGAGCTATGAAAATACATACATGTGGCCTCGCTATGCTGTGCCTGTGGATGATGTGTGGCCTTAAGGTGTTTCTCAGCCTTAGAGTCACTTGATTGGGAAACTAGCAGTTCTTTGCTAGTGTTGGTGCTCTGGAAAATATGAAAACAAAGACTCTTACTTATAGGACGGGCACAAAGTTTAACACAATCAGAAGCCACAAAACAAGTAATAAGCTGGTAATAGGCCACAAATATCAGAGCGTTGATGTTACCCATTGAGAATGGAAAGTCACCACATATAAAGTTGCAAACGCACAATCAAGAATAATGTACAGCTTCTGGACAGATACCACACATAAAAACCGAATACAGTCTGCACACTGATTTGAAAGCAAAACAGTGTCACCAAACAAGCCACAGCAGAGATTTTCACTTCATTACTCACAGCAGACAAAACCAGTCTTGTCTGCTTGCCTCTATCAGCTGGATGACGTTCAGCTTAGGACAGAGGACAGCATGAAACACAGTCAGCAAGAAAAAGAAACTTGTGCATATGGGGTCATGGAAACATCTTGTCGTACAACAATATACTATAAGTGTATGTGTGTGTGTTATTGTAGTTCACAATGGATTATTAAGCGCCACAAAGCCTCACCAGTGGGCTTAAAAATACTCAGTGTAATGGCAGCCCTCCACACACACAAACACCCACTCTGAATATACTGTGATAATAAGACAATATATGTGCATGTATGTTTTTAGTAATATGATGTCACTCTGCCACTGAAGAAAAAACAGTGAAATGATGAGCAGATGTTGAAGTACCTGTGACAGTGAGGATGGTAAGTTTCTGATGTCGTCCTGCTCGGTTCTCAGCTGTACAGTAATATTCCCCTGCGTCATAATACTGCACACTGGAAATATGCAGAGCTCCGTCGTCTACACAGGCCATAGAATAACAAGTGATGAATCACAAAGAGTTTAAACATATTCACATCCACTTTAGGTATTTGTGAAGTTTTCATGTATGTGTCCACCTCTTCCAAGGATGCCATTCATGTTTGCTGCTGAAAACAATTTCCATTGAGAACTTGGTGAAAAACTTTATGAAAATAAACACAAAACGGCACCAATCACTCACCATCTATGTGTCTGTCTTTAGTGGGGCTGATGGGGGACTGTGTATCTGCTCTGCCCCTGGTCCAGGTATATGTGATGGGCAGAATCCCTACAGCCCTGCAGGGCAGGACCGCTGCAGCCCCAATCCTGCAGTTCACCTGAGCTACGAAGGTCACTATGATGGGACTCACTGGGAAGAGGAAAGAGTATATGGAGTCAGATGTCTCAACAATTTGAATCTACATTATAATCACAATAAGTTAAAGTGCAAAATGTACCTGCAACTCGCAGCATTGCAGTGTTGTGGCTTTGGCCCAGTATGTTGGAGGCCTCACACACATACAGCCCCTCATCATAGCTCCTGGCTGACTGGATGTAAAGAGTGGCATTTCTCAGTCTGTGTGAGAAAATGTCAGTGGTCATAACCATAAAACGGTTGTCAAAATGATTTGTGTGAGTTACAAGGCAGGAAATATTATTAACTATTAACCGTTTCTCTTAATAGAGAATACAACAACTCACCCCAGAGCAATCTTGCCTCCAGTCTGCTTGGAGTGGCCTCTCTTCACCCAGCTGATAGAGGGTAGAGGGTGACCAGACACCTGACACTCCAACACTACCCGAGCACCAACAGGCACCGTCAGCAACTGGGGCCACAGTTTCACTGATGGAGGGGCTGCCAGGGAGAGCAAAGCACTGTTATACACAGAGATGAAGGAACTGTTTGAGTGTCCAGTATGGCTGATCAGTTGTAAAGTCATACCCAGCACAGTAAGGGTTGCTCTTCTAGAGGTGAGGAATCTTTGAAGGGGGACGTTGGAGGCCCTGCAGAAGAAGCTCCCACTGTCGTTCTCCTGGACACTGCAGAGAATAACGTCAAGACACATCGCTTGTAGAAACGCTTGATGATCAAAGGATTTTACAGAGGACTAACATAATAGTGATAGCCCCAATTGGTATATTTGGTAATATAACCAAAGTTTATATCATATACTGTACAGGTTAAATAACATACCCTTTTTAATAGTTAACTGTTAATTTATAAATGTTGTTAATTCATCTATGCACATCATAATTTGTTGCCAACAATATAAACTCAAATTGATTCAGAACACATCCATATGCTATATTGTCATATTATCAACTTCTGTACACAAATGTACAAATACAAACCAAACACTCTGAGGACATAAACCTTTTGTCTTTTAACACACGCTACGCATACCTACAAACACAAGCGCGCACACACACATACACAGACCTGTGGAAGAAGAGGTCTCCACTAGGCAGCACAGTTACATGAGCTGTGGGAGTGAGAAGTGTGTTGTTTTTGAACCAGGACACCTGGGCTGCTGGTCTGCTGTATGGAGGCCTGCAGGTGACTGTAAGATTTTCTCCTTTCTTCACCGTCAAGTCTGTGGGCTGTTTGATGAAACTCCAGTCCATCTCTGGAAGCACAACATGTGTGTCTCTGTAAGTGTGTCATTCTTGTATGCACTAGTTTCCTCAGTCATGTTATGTGAGTAAAAGTTAAAACAATCCTGAGAGGATTATATTCTTGAGCTATTTTGACATCATGTAAAAGACCAGTGTGTAGTGGCATCTAGTGGTGAAGTTTAATTTATAAGTGTATAGGAGAAACTACCCTATCTACTGCCAGTGTTGGGTTTCTGTTCTGGGCTACTGTAGAAACATGGTGGCCTCCATGGAAGGCGGCCTGTGGTGTCTGTAGATAAAAACGTCTCATTCTAAGGTAAACTATTTATTCAGGTGATTATACACAAATTACAGCATACATATGAATATTATATTGTCAACAGATCCTCCTAAATATTATAAATAAAAACCTGGACAAGAAGACAAACTAACACAGAAAGGCTCACAAACTAATACATTAAAAAATAATTTCATAATTCAGAAGCCAATAGAGGAACAATATTAACATCATGTTTATCCTCATGAAAAATCATATTAGCCTTTAAAAAGGCCTGGTAACAAAGAGCAACATACCTTTCATAAGAGGTAGAGCAAGTATGTTAAATGTGGTCTGAGAAACAAAGTACTAATTAAATCAGCCTTTGTCTGTTGTTTGTTTAAACAAGGCTTTTCATCTACTTTGAAAATGATTTAAACATACATTCAATTTTATTTTTATTTTTTACTTTAATCAACCTGTATTGAGAAACTGATATTTAATTGATAGCTTAGAATGAACAGGTGTATTTGCTAGGTAATAATTATTCTAATGTATGGTGTATTAGAGGAGAGTTGTGTAACGTGCAGATGTCGGTGCACAGTACCGGCTGGAAGAAGGAAGGCTGACTGCGACTTGATTGACTCTTTCTGGTTGGATGCTTCACAGTGATACGAGCCCTCATCCTCCTTGGTCACATTCCTGAAAACACAGCCAGAAATAAGATTTTAAAATCTGTCTTGCAGGAGTATAAAAACACTTTTGAACATCAGAACTTCAAACTGTGAGGACCACAACTTAACACAAACTATATATATATTATATAACATATTCTTGAACAAACTCAATGCAAAATAAGCGTCATTTTTACAGTGCATAGTTCTTGATTCATCATTACAATTACAAAAAAACAATAAAGGATTAATATTCCTCTTGTCCCATGCAGTGTAGGACCTGAATGTGAGCAGCTGTCCATTGTTCTGAAGGCTGAACGAGACTGAGCAGTTTGTCAGGAGGCAGCCGTCTTTGAACCAGTGCACCATGGGAACAGGGAAGCCACGAACAGTGCAGTGCATGAAGACCTCTGTTCCCATAGCAACAGTGATGTTGTCGGGACCCTGGATGATCTGCAGCCTTCTAGGGACCCCTGCAAGGTAAAGTTTAAGTTATTAACCCTGCTGCAAGAAGTGTATGTAATTAAGTAATTTAATGTCGCACTGGGTCTTAAAGTAGAATAAAAGTATTTAAATTGGGAATGTATAATATCTCCTGCTTCTAATTAGTGTATTAGGGGATGTTTTCACCTAAAGCATGTGAGGTGAAGCATTTGTGTGACACTAGAGTTCTGCTTAAAGTGACAATATGCCAATACAAATTGACAAGTGTAAGAGTAAAAAGCAAAAATAAAAACAAAATCATGTACACATACTCACCCTGCACAGTTAGTTTAGCTGGCTTGCTCCTCTTGCTGATGTTCAGTAAAGGATTGTGTGTGACACAAATGTACATCCCATCATCCTCTAATGTTACGTTGAAAAGATGCAGAGTGCCTGAGGTCTTCTTCTGTTTACCGCCTCCATACTCACCCTGATAATGAAAACACAGTTTGACGTATAATACATCTGAGTTAAAGGGTCTAATAATATTTTTTTTATGTCTTTGTTTTGCCCTGATTAAAAAAAAAAAGATCAGACAGGTGGAATTGGTAAATTGTAAGATTTTAAACTGGACTAAATTCTTTGACCGATGAGAATACTGCTCTGTTTCACACAGTAAAATGATCCTTTTTAGAAGCTCTTTAAGCCATGTGAATTCTTAAAATAAAATTGCATTTGTATGCTCACCCAACATCTCAGCCAGTGTATTTCAGCCAATGTGCAAGTTCTATAGGCAGAGGAGGTTTCATAATGTTTCTTCTGAGAAGCTGCTTTACTTCGGCTATTCCAAGCTACCAAAAAACTGCAGTTTCAGTGAATGTTGGGTCATGTCTGAAACACCTAATTGATTGGTTAGTAACTAATGAAGATGTCCTTATCTCATTAAATATGTTCTTGATCTGCAGGTGGAGCTACCTCCTTGTGAGACGGATCATTATGGAGAAAGTAGGGAAACTTTCTTGCATGAGACACATACAGGGGCACCTGGCTGAAGCTGGACCATTGACATCACACTGATACCTGATAACGATCACCCCAAGGTCCAGGATATTCGCTGGACCTCCAAATCTTGAAATTGGGGGGAGAACAGCCTCTAATTTCATTAAATGCATACAAGCAGGCTGGACTACTGCAATGGACTCCTCACAGGTCTGTCTAAGGCCGAAATCAGACAGCTGCCGCTGATACCCTGCTGCCAGGGTTGCCACAAGGACCAAAAAAGTAAAACATATAACTCCATATAATTGTCAGATCATTACATTGGCTAGCAGTTTCTCACAGAACCAACTTAAAAATTCTGGTGGTTGTCCATTAGTCACTGAATTATTTAGATCCAAGATACCTATCAGATCTCCTGACCCAGTACAAACCTTGAAGACACCTCAGCTCGGCTGGTTCTGGATCACTAGCTGTTCCCAGAATCAAAACTAAGTGTGGAGAAGTTGCCTTTAGGTTTTATGCTGCTCAAATGTGGAACGAAGTGCCAGAAGCACTAAGACTTGAAACAATGCTGACTACTTTCAAATCCAAGCTAAAGCCCTACCTGTTTACCATTGCCTTTAGTTAATGTAATCTTTTTAATCAAATTAATTTGTTTCATTGTCTGTCTGTCTGATTTTATGTGTTATCCTATGTGCTTTTGCTTGTTTGCTTTTATTATTTTTATCATTTGTTACCTGTTTTGTTTTTTTCATGTTTTTGCTCATGACTTTTGTAAAGCACTTTAGGTTGCCTTGGGTATGAAATGTGCTATATAAATAAATTCGCCTTGCCTTGCCTAATGTTCACATAGTCCCCTCTAGGACCCTGCATGATGAGGTAAGTGGGCCTACAGAAGGTTTACCATATAAACCAGTTGTCCCAAGAAATGATGGCGATGTCACAAGGCCTTTTATTTAATTCATATAAGTGGTAAAGATATTTCAGTCCCAGGTATCTGAGTCAAATTTAGACTGGGAGGATTATAATTTCTTCCCAGGGAGCTGAAGGACTGCTGCAGCCTTGTGAATTATTTCAGAAGCTGTGTGAAGACCACTGAACTTAAGTCTGTGCTTTCCACCAGTTGTTGAAGCTGCATTTTAGCACTATTAATTAATTAATTCATCTTCCCTTGACCCTTTTTTCCTGCATAAGTGGTGTTTGATACCTTTCTAATAATCTGTTGACTCTGTCTAAAGCTGTGCTCACCTGAATCTGTCTACCTCTTGTGACCAGTGTCCCATCTTTGAGCCAGGTGATGCTTGCAGGAGGTGAACTCTCCCCTGACACACACTGGAAGAAAACTCCCTCTCCTTCTCTGACTGTCTGGTCCTGCGGACTAAAGAAAACATCCTCCAAACCTGGAACACACAGTTTAAATAGGCAATGGACGTTAGAGACAATCAGATGACATAAAATATTTTCACTACTGAATTATTTCATTGGAATATCTTTATACAGTATGGTGACATGTATTGGGCTTTGTATCAGAAAACTAAAGATACTTTCATTGCAGTGTAGTGCTTAGTGCATTTAACTGTAGTCTCATCTACCATGAATCATGTTTAGGGACAGTGAACATCTAGTGCTTAACTAACACTAAGAGGTACATGGACTCACCCAGTAGTTGGGATGAGACTGCCAAGCTGGACAGGATGAGAAAGCAGAGGTGGGAAATCATCTGTGGGAGCATCCAAATGGAGACACAGGCATGCATCCTACTGCAGAGCTCCCTGGGAGGCGTGAGGAAACCACCATACAGCTTCATCCATGGTGTCAGCTGGAAAATACACATACAAGACAGGAATTAGAAATATCAGATTTAACCTTAGCTGTTATTTCACTTAATTAAATGTCCCATATTTCACATCTGGTGTTTTATTTGAATTTTGATATCCATTAGACCACTGGTTCTCAAACTATGGTACATGTACCACTGGTGGTACCCAAGCTCCCTCTAGTGGTACATGGAGGAATCATTGAAATATATATATATATATATATTTTTTAAATAAATTATTTAAAATACTAAAAATAAAATTAAAATACTTTAACTATGAGATTGCTGAAATTTAATTTAAAATAAGTTCTTTATTTCCATATTTTTCTTTCAGTACATATATATATATACATCCATGATTAGTTGTGTGCTAAAATATGATGCAAGATAGTAAGCAGAGATAAAATGAATGGCACAAAAAACGTCCATAGCGGAACATGATCGGCCTATGCTACTGTATTTTAACATTGGTCATAATAGTTGTACAAGTTTGCATTTTTGTATGTATGATGGAAAAAAATGTGAACATGTTGAAATGTTTCAGAGATATTCTTCAGTGATATAACCTTCTAATCAATTATTTATCTCATAAACACTCACTGCATCATTACCACATCCTATAGATAACAGCTGCCATTTCCACACAACAGCACTGAACCTTCCCTTTGCATACATTCACTTTTGATCAGTTTCTAGCTAATGTACTCAGCAGATGAATTTAACATTACTCTCTCTCTCTCATTTTATCTCTCTTGCTCTTAATGCCCTCCCCTCCCTTTTCCCTTTGCTTCATTCCTATTTTGGTTGTGAGTCTGTGGCACCGCAGCAAGCTCAGCTTTGTCCTCTTTAGTCCCTTGAATGGGCTCAGCCACTTTATAGAGCTCGCACTGTGGCCCTACACTCAATGAAAGTGACATGAAAAGAGGCTGCGGAGCTTTGTACTATGAAGATCAGTTATTGGTCCTCTGCAAGGAAAGCTACCCGTCTGATCACATAGGCTTTCATGATCCTCAATATGGCCATGTAAGGGCTGATCCTTTATTGTTTGAACGTGCCACAAATTTTGCTTATACAATGTTGGATTAGCACAAGTAAATATATATCGAAGGGAAACATGCCAGAGACTCAGTTTTGATCTCAAGAGGCTCATTTAAGATGAAAGAGTTAAAACTGAATGTGTAATGATGACGGTTAAAGGGTCTGATGTGTTTTGCAAGAATGTGCACGTTGCACAGAGAGAAAGATAAGGATGTGTCTCATGATCAGTTTAGCATATTTTGAGGCAAAAACTGTATTACATTAGTCCAAAAGTAAAACAGCTTTTAACCATATTGACTAAAAACCAGCAAAAGAAAATGCAAATGAATGTGCATCCTCTACTCTTATACACACATTAGAACATGTTGAAATAAACAGCTGGTGGTGCTAATTTTCCAGTCCTGTGCCATTATATACCTCAGAAGAAGAGGGCACAACAAGATGGCAGGAAACATAGAAAACATGAAAATATTGCATTTATGATTTAATTTGAGGAATATTACAGTCTCCTTATTGGTCTACATGGATCCATTATTTTGTCTACCACTATTTTCTTTGCAATATGTCAAAAACAATGATGTTACAGTATTTTGTAGTTTTTGAAAACATCAGTGAATAAACTGTTTATAAACAATATGATTTCTTAGACAATAACATCTACCTCTAAATTAGATTAGAGGTAGATTATATTACAAGCAATCATAGAGCATGAGGTTTATAGATGAAAATATAATCACATTTTATTTTATTATGGCCCAACACATAGAGGACGAAGTCAAATCAAAAGATTGAAAAATAAATATGTAAAAACAAACATGGTGTTTCTATGGTGTTAGTGAAACCAAAACTCCCACCAGTGGTGCTTGAATCAATGAAAAATACTTGATTTCAGACATTAGTGCATTAGTAATCACTGTCAAACTAAATGCATCAATGACTTGCTTGATTGGTTCAGCAGGGCTTGTGGCTGGTTATACTCACATAATGCTAAGAGCCTGTGGGTGTGTATTTGTTTGACTCACAAGGCTCACAACAGATCATTTACACTGTTTAGCATGTCATTACGATGTTTTTAGCCCACACACTGACTTGTATGCTCTTTCTTTCAGGACAAACTGTCAATGGCAATATATTCATTATTTTCTACTTAAACTAAAATTAAGTAAAACACTGGGTGGAGATGCTGAATTGGTAATCCAGCATATGGCAATGTACTGTGTGGTACTATATATGTGGCAAAACTTAATGTTTGGCACATTGTTGAATGTCTCCAAATGTTGTTGTAGTCTTCAAACAAGGCAGAAATCAAGCCACATAAAATGTAATCAGTCACTGGCCGGTACTTACATGAAGCAGTTGCCTGTAAACAGTTAGCTCCAGGGAATGAGCTAACTGTGTCATTATGATCAAGGCGTCAAAAATCTGGAGTTATAGTTAATAACCTGAACCCCATCCCCAGCATCTAAGCTGATTGTTGGACAGATTACTTTTAATTTTGGGCTGATTAGAGTGCTGCTCAACTGAAAAACTGAAGTTAGAGAAATGGTTTTGTAACTCTTCATTCTAGTGTAGAGGTCAAGTGACATAAAACATTATTGGTGAAAAGTAAAGTTGTTTACATTTAATTTCACTGTAATAGTTACATTTGAATGTGGTACTTCTACATTTACTTCAGTACAATTTAAATGCTGTATTTTCTACTTCACTATAATTATCTGATAACTGTAGTCACTGATTACTTTGCAGATTCACATTAATAAACAATAAATAAATTATTATAGATTATTATGGATAAAGATAAAACTTTATTGAGGAGTTTACATAGTAATAAAATAACTCCTACATTTACTAGCTGCAACATGTGTTTTATCATACATATGTTACCTATCTAACATAGCTTACATGGGCCGTGCATTCATAATTATTTCACTAATATATTATAGCACACAGTGCAATATATATTCATTATTCTGAAATGGGCCATTCTACACAATAGTATTGTTAAGTTTTTGTACTTCAAGTATATTTAGATGTTAATTTGTACTTTTGTACTTTTACTTAAATGTACTACAAGGAGTTTTTAACAGGCTATGAATGTCTTAATTGAATACTGATGCTTCTATATGACAAACAAACAGTAAGACGACTGGCTATTTCTATATAGTCATTCTTAATGCCTGCCACAGGAAAGAATCTGGTCAAATTCGTCTAGAAACAAATGAAACAAGAAAACACTATCACTTCTGTCCACAGGGGCCGCCAGAATCAACACCAAAAGAAAGTGCCTTGTAGCTGCTTTAAGTAGTCAAAGTCAAAGTCAAAGTCAGCTTTATTGTCAATTTCTTCACATGCACCAGACAAACCAAGGAATCAAGCGGACGTTTCTCACTCTCCCACGGTGAAACAGATAAAGTGCACAGGCACAAACAGACAAGACATTTCCTAAAGCTAAAAGTAAACATTCAATTTCACAGCAGGTATGACATTTACTAATGCTAAAAAGATTAAAAAAGGTAGACAATAAAATATAAAATATACGATAACATTAAACATACAATACTTGTGGTAGTGCAAAAAAAAGGCAGTTGGTAATGGCAGCAAAAAACATTAACAGAAAAATGTTAATGCATGATTTTTAGTTGTTACAGTGTACTAGTATTGCTAATTTTTCTTAAGATTAGGATCTGAATACTGAGCACCACTGTGATTTAGTCATTTTAAACTGTTATTTGTATTTATTACAGTACATAAGCAAGATTTTGAAGCATTGCCTCTATTTTTCTTTGGTTTTATTGCGAAGGGCTCTCAGGAACAACATTTCTGAACAATTAAGCTTATGTTGCATTCAACAGATATACAAGAGAAACAGAAATTCAATGCTGATTTCTACTTAGTGCATGGCATGTAACAATAATGTATGGTGCCCTCAGAAACAAGATAAGAGCTGCATTAGCATATGAATAAACACAGCACGCTCCAAAATGATCAGTGGACTTCAAAGGTACAAGTAGTATTTAAAAAAGCACATCACACTTGTTAAACTAAATACAACACAGATGCTATTTTACAAGATGCTTATCAAGATGTTCCTGATGCAACACATTTTTTTTTAACAAGATGCCCATTTTTATTTACTGAAGAACCATTAAGAGTTATCAATACTTACCCTGCATGTGTCCAAGGATTGTTTCTGTGTTGGTTTGCAATCAGCCCATTCGTCTCTGAAGTCTGTGCAGAACCTCTGTTCTCCTGACGCATATAACAAGCTTCCAGCTGGGAAAGCAGCAGCCGCACGCATGTGCTATACACCCTCCACCCTCCCTCCCCACACACACACACACACACACACACACACACACACACACACACACACACACACACACACACACACACACTGTGGCATTCTTATTCAAAGCCAACAGCTGTAATGAAGCACAAAACCGTAATTGTGTACCCATTATTTAGACAGTAAACAGATGCAAAAATGATAACACGCTACAATAAATTTAAATGTGCAGCCAAGTGTCCACTAATTATAGTGAGTGAGAGATTTTCAAGCATTTTACTTGGTTGTAAAGTGAAGATAGAAAAGGCTGATGCACTTTTTCTTTTTATAAAGTACATATGGGCCACTGTATATACTCACTTACACAACCAAAAGTAAGTTGACACATGGAGATTACACCCACATGTGATTGTTGAACATCTCATTCTGAAGCTATGGGCATTAATCTGCTGCAACACTATCCACTGTGCTGAAAAAGTTTTCCACCAGAGATTGGCTCCTGGCTGCAGGGATTTACTCCCATTTAGCCACAAGAGCATTGAAATTGATGCTAGGCATTAAGTTGAATGTTCACTTTCACAAGGTGTTGGATGGGGTTAAAATAAAGTATTAAATAAAAAATAAAATAAATAAAAATATTTCAGTGATTTCTCACCAATAGGACTTGTAGGGTACAATATTGTATATGTTGCTGGTATCTGTATGTAATGATGTGTCTATATGTGTCTATTTAATCTTTTAAGATGATGGTATTTAGTATATAAATATATACTGTATATATACTTTTGGGCATACTTTTTCCATTTATTAGACAGGAGTTCAGAAGTTCAGTGCATTACAGTAAAGGGTACTGACTAAGTAATGTATAGAACAATATTTGACTTTCACATTACAGTTCTTTCTCTCCCCTTCTTCTGAAGTAACCACAAGTCATTTTTTCTCATGGTGAGCAGTAGTGCTCATAGCTGATGAAATCAACCCTTCACACGTTTGTTTGTGGGCCAAACCACTTCCCACATTGCCAGCACAATATTATGTCAGCTAACATCACAATGACACCAAATAATGTGTACAATGTGTTATAATGATATAATGTGCTAGTGAATGAAGAACTGTTGTGTTAGCACATAGTGACCTACACCTTTATACATTTGTCAGTTTAATGTGTAAGTGCTGGTTGAACTGTTTCCCCTTAAATGTAGGTTAATGGGGGATGATAATGACTGCTACACTCAATCACTCTAAAAGACATTTTAGAACAAGCATTTAAGGTGGCACTTTAGCATAACTGTAAAGATTTCACTGTAAAATATGTCTATACTAACAGGTCATTAAACTCATTAAGAGAATCTGACAGTAGGTGAGATAATTTAAACAAAAGGCTGACTCCAAAGTACAAAGTACAGCTGATAACAAGATAATTTCAGCCTTCATAAGCAGACAGTTTAAATTGTAAAGTTTGGTCAAAAATGTATTTCACAATACTGTGTTTTATAACTAATGACATTCACAACAGCCTGAAATGTACTTTGTGTTTGGTTCTAATTAACAACATCGTAAAGATTATTCCTGTGAAACAACAGCATGTTAATATTGTCATTAAGAGCCTGTTAGCATGCTGGTGTTAGCATTTAGCATTTAGTTTTCATGACTGTAAATTTATTAGTCTAGTTTCAACCATAAAGTGGCTTCTTTTTATGCTAAAAGTGGAGAAGAGTATACATAACCAAACAAAAAGAGCCATGCATGCAGTGGCTTCTGTATCACTTATTCACATGCATGGCTGCAGCTAACATAGGCTTCTGTAGTCTTCCCACATGTCTACTGGGGCCAGATGAAGTCCTTGCAAATGTAAATTGACCATCCATTCAGCATAATCAAATGGAAATTAAAGTACAAATGCACCGATTTATAATCTATGCAGGAAGGGTCATTTTAATTAAGCAGACAAAGACTGATTTAGCAGGCGAAATGTAACATTGTTGGATTCAGGACAACATCAAACACACAAATCCACCAAAGGAGGTGTAGCATCCCAGTTCTCCAAAATAATGTGTGTGAGTGCACAGTGTAATGTAGATATTAAAAGAGGTGTCTTTGTGGTAAAGACCCAGTGACTTTTCCAAATGCATATCCTCGGTCTTGTCTAGCATACTGTCTTCGTCTCCTTAGCTCTGCCCTTGCACTTGTGACATATGTTCATTTCACTTTTATCATTTTATTTGTCAATGTATAGAATTTTTTAAGTTTTAGTGTTTTGATGGAAATGCGTATTAAATTTAGTCTTTTTGTCATAGCTGTTTAAGTTTGATCTAAGTAATTAGTTCATTTTTCCATTATTTTGTCTTTCACATTATCATTTAGTTTTTATTCATTGAAATAAAATTTTTCTGTCAATGAATAAAAACTAAATGATAATGTGAAAGACAAAATAATGGAAAAATGAACTAATTACTTCAGAAATCAGAGTTGTCCTTTTCGTCTTCTTTTAGTCATGAAAATCAGGTTGTAAACAAGTATTTTTTGCGATAGTTTTCATTACAGAAGATACTGTAGATGTGACAATGATGACACTCAACAATACCTTCTTATCAGGTTCAAAGACATTAAAAACACAGGAAATACCAAACAGGGTCTTCAAAATTCACATTCAAACAAAAATACAAAATTAATACCAAAAAAGTTTATTCCAAAAAGCTCCTGAGGACACATAGGTCATGTCTTCTGTAACATTACTGGGGATTACATGACATCATGAAGGGTTTACAATTTACCATTAAACACACATATGACACATGAGGGTTTTTAAAAACTAATTATGATGCTGTTAAAAATGATTAATTACAATGTATTTTCAAATACTCTATATCTGTGATTGGTAATTTTTTTAATTTTTAAGCAGCACAACCCCTCCTGAACCCCAAATGAATCTATTAGAATCACGACAGCAGCAGGAAATTCAAAGCGGCGAAAGGTGAGACTATAAGAAGAAAACCCGGAGTGATGAAGGTGGGCTGGGCAGCTCCGTGGAGCTCGGTTAAACAGAGGGCCTGCTCCAACATTTGGTGAGTCTCAACACTAACGCCTGGAAAACATAAGACAAAGATTGGTACAAAGAATTATGATGATCTGTTTCGTAATGTCAAACTGAGCAGCCCTTACCGTGTTGGGACCATTCCTTCCAGGCGTGCAGAAATTCAGTGTTGTGTTCCCTCCCAGAAACTGTTAAATGTGAAACGAATGTCTATTCAGAACTTCCATTTTTAAAATGTACTAATTTATAATCCAACAACCAGATAATTCTCACCTTTGGAGTGCTCTGTCAGCAGAAGTTTTAAATCTCTGAGAGCCCGGGTGAGGTTCTCCAGTCGGTGCTGCAGGTGGAGGTTTTCCTCTTTCAGAGTGTGGATGGTATCATGGAGCTCATAGGCTGAGCTGCAGTATGAAAGCAGAGAAATCAACCACAAAATGATGGTGACTTGCAAGATGGAGAACATTGTAGTTGCAGACATATGACTGGATGTCACTTAAATCTGCTGCTGGTCACAGTCTCCCAAAATCCTCCTGCAGCTCCAAAATGTCCCAAACGCCGGTGGAAGTGTTAATGTTATTCAAGAGCTGGCCTATTTCTGCGTCAGCATTGATTTAGTGATGGGTAGCTAAATGCTCTTGGCCCGCTGACCACTCTAAAGGATCAATTGTTCTGTTATCTCAGGGCCCAAATTAGAGGGACACAGATAGAGCTGTTTTGGAGTTAATAAATCTTCATCCTTGCATGCAGCTTTCAGTGAGCACACCATTTGCTCGATGCAGACCCATGAGCCAATGATAAATGACATAACGTGTGATGAAGAAAACAAGGACAAAAAGCACCTGCAGACCTGTGATCACTGCACTGGAGAAAAATGAGGTTAGTATATAAAAATGAATGTATGGTTAATATGAAATTAAGAAAGACAATAGAATAAAAATCATGGTTGCTGTTTCTGGATCATTTTCTCGAGGCCTTAGACTTACATTTTGCATGGAAGTAGTGAATAACTCAGCGGTAGATGTGGGCGAAGTTAACTTTTGAAAATGATCCTGTTTATCATGACTGATTAACATGTTTTATTTTATTATCATACCATTTTCTGTTATGCTGAAGCCAAGAGTCTTTGGGACTGTGTGTAAAAATAAACACAAAAAACTTTTAAATTTAGTTAAATTTTTATGATAAAATAATGCTAGAAAACAGAGACAATTGGTAGAGGAGTCATTTAAGATAGAATTACCAATGGTTTAAAAGAAAAAAATACATTTATAATAAAATAAAATACAATAAAATAGTGAAGGTCAGGTTTAGTTGTATCGTCACTTTCATACAGATAAAGTTTAAAATACTTTGCATGGTAATAAAAATACAGAAAAAGTTTGTCTAAAGCAATCAAGCAGTTATTTGTCTGTGTGTGTGTGTGTGTGTGTGTGTGTGTGTGTGTGTGGTGTGTCTGTGTGTGTGTGTGTGTGTGTGTGTGTGTGTGTGTGTGTGCGTGTGTGTGTGTGTGTGTGTGTGTGTGTGTGTGTGTGTGTGTGTGTGCGCGCGCGCGGCGGAAATGCTCCCGGAAACGTCATCATCATCATCCGGGTTGATTTCTGGTCACAGACGATCCAAGATGGCGACTCACATGTCGAGATGTAGAACCTGGAGTCGTGTTCAAAGGTAGTAACGTTACAATCCTAAAATAAATGCTCCGAAATCGTCGCCAGACTCGATTCAAACACAGAAGAACAACGCGACCCGTATATTCAGTATCCTCCGTGCCATGCCTCTGCCTGACTTCAGCACTGTCGTAACTTTTCTACGTCCTCATCACACAAGATTAGCTTCCTCGGTTAGCATGATGCTAACTGTTAGCTGTCAAACAAGCTCTAGTGTTGCTGTCAGGAGTGCTTGGCTAATGTTACATCGTGAGGAAATACACTCACCAAGCGTTGGGATGTGGTTGAGAGTATTTTAGAGGCTGGCTGTAGAGATAAAGTAGTTATATTTATGAGTAACGTTACTAATGTATGTGTGCTGATAGTTTAAATATGTAACTTAGGTTGCTAGCTGTACAAATAACCATATGTTAACTGAGCAGATTACTTTAACTTTAAGTTTATTCTTCTGCCAGTTCCTCTTCATTTTATGTAAGCACATTTCTGATATCCAGTTCAGACAGCAGATGCCATATATTTATTGAGTGCAGTAATTGTTTAGATTATTGTCTGCTGGCTGCTGAACTGATCATTAGCAGAGCTGTATATGGTTAATAGTGCATTAACACCTGAACCTAACAGTTTCCTGACTGAACCCTGGTATACTTTGCAGTTTAGCTACTTTTGCTCAAGATAAGGATTTAAATACTGTTTTTTGGTCTGAAGTGGCTAAGAAGAAGTTAAATAAGTATTGTTTTATTGTTCTCAAAGGTTTGGGATCGCAGCATACAGAAAGTACAGCAGTGGTGGTGCATACCCAAATATCTCCCTCTCTTCACCGCTGCCTGGGATCCCCAAGCCAGTGTTTGCATCCGTGGATGGTCAGGAGAAATACGAGACCAAGATCACTACTCTAGAAAATGGCCTCAAAGTCGCCTCCCAAAACAAGTTTGGTCAATTCTGCACAGTTGGAAGTAAGTAGCAGCAGCGATATGCAGTCAATATCTACTTCTCTTCAGCGTCTGCCTGATGTGGATAACATGTGTATGTTTATTTCTTATTTCTAGTTTTAGTAAATTCTGGATCCAGACATGAAGCAAAGTATCCGAGCGGAATAGCACACTTCGTAGAGAAACTCGCCTTTTCTGTAAGTCACAGTAAAATATACAAACGTTAAAGGTGAAAGGTGACGAGGTGAAGTTGTTTCAACAGTCATTTTAATATTTAGTCCACAGCTCAGTACGGGAGTAAAGATGAAATTCTCCTCACGTTGGAGAAACACGGAGGAATATGTGACTGTCAAACATCGAGGTATGTAGTCTGTCAGCACAACGTATGTATATGTGTATTACTACCTTCCATATGTGAACCGCGCCCTTTCTTCTGTTGGAGAGTGTAAACAGCTGTTACATGTGTGGTGGATCTTTCATTTTGCCGTGCAGAGATACCACCATGTATGCAGTGTCTGCTGAAGTGAAAGGTCTGGACACAGTTGTCAGTCTTCTCTCTGATGCGGTTCTACAGCCTCGCCTGCTGGGTTAGTCCTTTTTTACTTTAAATGACAAATTCATGGGAGCTGCGCCACGTGTCTGTCCGTCTGAGATGGTTTGTTTAAATGCAGATGAAGAGATCGAGATGACCAGAATGGCGGTGCGCTTTGAGTTAGAAGATCTAAACATGAGGCCAGACCCCGAACCCTTACTCACTGAGATGATCCATGCTGTGAGTCACGTCATTTGTGGAGACCCTCCAACAACAGCTCTCTGTGAAAGTCCTTAGTAGTCCTTTGACCTTTAAAGTATCAAGGCTGTTATAAATGTGTAGTACCACTGTAGATGATCAGTTAATTGATTATTCCCTTTTTTGTTGTTGTTTAATTGTTTATGATGTAAAAAATAATATTCTATTATTTTAACTATCCAACCCCCACGGCTCCTATGTCATATGTGCTTTCTGATAGGATTACAGATCAACACGAGCCTGAAATAAAAACTAAAACCCTAAATGTATAATTAAAGAGCTTAGAGGTTATTTTCTGAGTGTGGAAACAGCCAAAATGATTTTAATACAGGGCAGTACAGTAAAAATATCATATTGCAATGATCATTTTTGCATCAGAAATGTAATTTTCACTGAAAAAAAACATGATAATGAGAATATTTTGGGGACTCTTAGGTTTTCTTAAATCTGGAGAATGATATTTGTAGAACTACCTTAATCAAAAAATGTCAGCTTCTTCAATTTGCATATGAGACTTTTAATTGGGAAACCTTATTTTAATAAACAAATATAATGATTATTGTAGCTTTACTTTTATTTCGTTTCCTTACACTTTCCAACATTATTGATCTGTTCATGGTTTGTTTCCAGGCTGCGTATCGAGGCAACACAGTCGGACTGCCTCGCTTCTGTCCTGTTGACAATGTGGACAAGATTGACAAGATGGTGCTGCACAGCTACCTGCGTAACTACTTCTGTCCTGAGCGGATGGTGCTGGCTGGGGTTGGCATCGAGCACGAGCAGCTGGTTGAATGTGCCAGGAAGTACCTGCTGGACATGAAGCCGGTGTGGGGAACGAGCGCAGTAGCCAACGTGGACCTCTCTGTCGCACAGTACACTGGTGGCATCGTAAAGGTGATTTATTGGTTTATTTTTTACAGGTCATCTTGGACTTTGTAGTTGCAAAATGGTGAAAAGGAGCATTTGCTTCAGTTTATCTACTACAGAATCATGGTGCACACTTAAACAGGATGACAACCATGGGTATTTTTTAATGTATTTAGCTGTTAAACAGAAATCATGTTTCACCAAAAAGATCTGTAAAGCAATGTTCTTGAATTTTCTTCTGTAAGTCAGTAAATTATTTATCTACAATTACAGAGGATGAGAAACATTTAAATTTGATATTATTGGACAGAATTCATAAACCGCAGTTACTTAAAGAAAAATATCAGAATGTGTTTATTTTTTGCGACATTTCAGACTGATATAAGAATTGCTGCAGTTAGTCTTAAGGCTAATAACATCTTCTTTTAATCTGTCAGATGGAGAAGGATATGTCAGATGTGAGCCTTGGCCCCACCCCGATCCCAGAGCTCACCCACATCATGATCGGCCTGGAGAGCTGCTCCTTCCTGGTGGGTGTCTGCAGTGCCCTGCTGGTCTTGGAGAGTCTTCAATCAGGTGCCTGTTACATGTTAACCATGTTTGTTTTGCCTTTACAGGAAGACGACTTCATCCCATTTGCAGTGCTCAACATGATGATGGGTGGAGGTGGCTCCTTCTCTGCAGGAGGACCTGGGAAAGGCATGTTCACCCGCCTGTACCTCAACGTGCTCAACAGGTGAACGTCTTTCAAATCTTAATTCTGTATTGTTTCAGATCAGTATAAGTCACTAAAATAACATCATTCATAATGCTGTATTACTAATTCTCTTGTGGTTTTTCCTTTCTGTTACAGGCATCATTGGATGTACAATGCCACATCCTATCACCATAGCTATGAGGACAGTGGTCTTCTCTGTATTCATGCCAGTGCAGACCCCAGACAGGTTGGTACAAGTTCAGGACAGCAGGGTTCAAATTTGTTATTGTATCTTATATATTATAATGCATAATAATTTATTATCAATCAGAGCTTTGCAGAGGAAGGTTTACATTGTGTCAGATATTCCTCCAAGACTTAGCTACGTAGTCATGTGCTGTAATGAAATTAGTTCTTATCACGTACATTCATCTCCAGGTGCGGGAAATGGTGGAGATAATAACCAGAGAGTTCATTCAGATGGCTGGCAGCCCAGGAGAGGTAATGGCAATGTTTCACTCTCAGGGCAATCCACCACAACTTTTACATTGTTGATTATTGTGGAAACAAAAGTGATGTACTTCTCTTTGAGCATTTTCTGAATTTTTGTCCCTGTGTTTCCAGATGGAGCTGGAGAGGGCCAAGACTCAGCTCAAGTCCATGTTGATGATGAACCTGGAGTCACGGCCTGTTATTTTTGAAGATGTTGGTCGCCAGGTTCTCTCCACAGGGAAGAGAAAGCTGCCACATGAGCTGTGTGATCTAATAAGTAAGTATTGAACAAAATGTAGTGTTTCATAGTGATTCATTCTAACTCGTGGAAAAATAAATGGCCGTGAAAAAGTATAAATAGTCTTATTTTACCCTACTCATTTATGCATTTTTGATTTGTCAACAAACCACTTCCAGGCAATGTGACAGCCAGTGACATTAAGAGAGTAACCACCAAGATGCTGCGCAGTAAGCCTGCAGTAGCCGCTCTGGGAGACCTGACGGAGCTGCCCTCGTACGAACACATCCAGGCTGCCCTGTCCAGCAAAGATGGACGTCTGCCCCGCATGTATCGCCTCTTCCGATAGACCCACCCCCTCCACATGGCCACCGAGCTGGTCGTCACTGGCAAACATCACTGTAAATAAACTGGACTGGAAGAGTACACTAGTGTTCCCTCCCACCACAGAACTCGACACAGCTCACTCTGGGAGGGGACTAATACCCATGGCTCTCAACTGAACCTCTGAGAGTGGGGATTTTAAATAAAGTTCCATTTTACTCCACAGTAACCTTAGTCTAAGCCATATTTCATCATTTACTGGGATGGTTTGCAGGAGTTTGGTTTTAAAGGGACATTTCATCCCAGAGCCAAAATAAAGTGTTCTCCCGTACCAACCTGTTATGTTTGAGTTTATAAATAAATTATGTTAGAATGTGAAATTATCTTCAAAGTACATCAGCATATAGGTAAGAGAAAGGGGCGGCTAACATCCCCCGCAGTTAGTTACCTTTTTATTGAGCTATTGTGTTTTCTCTCAGCTCTCTAAAATTCACAGAGCTTCACCTTGAGCTTTCTCCAATGTGGATGGATCAAACTATCTTTCTATTTATACAACAGCACTTCATAGTCTCCCTTCACAGCCACAGGAGGCACTATACGCAGTGATGGTAATCTGATTAATAAAGGAATCCCTTGAAATGTTTGGATAAATGTACAAACCTCACAAATGTGTCCTCAAGACTGAAATCATGGTTCCTGTCATATCGTGTCTCAGAGTCAATGAAAAGAGATTGAAATCTAAAGTGAAACCTGTCTGTTTTTTTTTTTTTTGTATTTTTGTGGTTGTGTTGATGTCCTTGCAAATTAAAAGAAATGTAACAAGATACATTAAAGGACTAGTTTGACTTTGGGGAATATGCTTATTTGCTTTCTGGCAGAGAGTTGGATAAAAAGATGAAGGCCAGTGTTAATATGAAAGTGGTGTTAACCTTCTCATCTAACTCTCTGCCAGAAAATAAGCGTTTACAAGATGTCACACTATTACTTTAAGAGATGAGTCTCTGTGTTCAAGTGAATTTAGAGGCTTATATTTTCCGGGTGAGACATTTTTAAAGAACATTATACTGAACACCCAAGTACACCCATGTGGATTTTACAAGTACTTCAATGGTTTATGACCACATTGAATATGCTGAACTCTGTTAACATCTGTATACCAACTGGTGAATAAATGTAATTACTTCCATGAATAAAATTCTATATTTTAAGGGTCTTGCCATGTGGTGTAAAAATGTAGCCAACAACCAAGTTAGTTTTAAATTGTTTATTACGTGATGTTAGTTGACATATAAAAAGATAAAGATAAGAGGTCCTGAAGAAATGAAAAACAAGACCCACAGGCACTGCTGGGATGCAAGTTCATTAATGCGGTACATACAGTACATGGACAGTATATAGTATATATGAGGTTACACGGTAGCAAGATGAGAGGTAAGGCATTGAGTTACAGTCTGTTGCAAAAGATCACTTGGCCTAAGAAGAGGAAAAGTAGTGACACGTGTTAACAGTATACAAAATGCTCCATCTATTTCATAGGAAGTGAAAAAACATTTGATCTCCCTGAAATTCAACAGTATCATGTAACAAGTAGTAACAACCTCCTGACTGGCGTTCATCGTTCATGCTCTTGAAATGACGTATTTCATCTCAAGCTCCCTTCTTCCGTCACATTGTATCTCACAGCTTAGCATCAAACAAAATTCAAGTTAAAATCGACCAAAGGCAGACGCCTAAATTATGTTAGGAAGCGCACCAAAATGTGCCACCAAAATGAAATCGTTTGGTCGGCTGCCTGATGACAAATTCACAAGGCATGTGAACACTAATCTAGCATTCAGAATAACATAACATTGTGGTTCATGATGCTTTTTAAATACCCTCAAAATTAGAATACAGGTGCAGTTACACAGAGCCTTTAAGGTTAGGTCAGTTCACACGACTGGATGTGACTGAAGAGTAAGCCACGATAGCAGCCCCCTCCCCTCCACGGTTTGTCTGCCTCAGTCACGTTTGAGTAGAGGGGGCTGAATAAATAAAGGCCAGACTACTGCTGCTGTGGCTGTCTGACCTCAAGGTCCCTGCCCTCAAGTACAGCCAGCCACTTCCACCAGGACACACACACACACAGACAGTACCCAACAACGCCCAACAGAGGGCACGCTCTGCTCAGTTACCACGACAAGCATTGGGCTCTGATAGGTTAAGACAACACTGGTTTCCTTTTGGTCCTTTTCTGCCGCCTGGTTTTAAATTCCATTTTTCTGGCATAGTTCAGTCTACTCCAGTCTGGTCTGGAGAGCTCATTTTAGGGGTTTAGGAGATGGTGCAGATGGTGCTGCTACTGTGGTTCTTCATGGCCTCCCTCCTCTTCAGCTCTCTGGTGATCCTCCTCCTGATGCCCTCCAAGTACAAGCCTCGGTCAAACTGCCCCGCTCCCAGGGGAATACTAAATAACACGAACAAACAAAACAGAACAAAGAAACAGAAATATGGGGTCAAAATAAAGGAAAGACAACTAGTAAATTCATTTTAATTAAGAATCCAGTGTAAATATAAATATTAAAAGTTTAGTTATTAACATGGTGAGACAATTCACTTTCTAGCTGCACTCTTTCTAACTATCAAAATCGAATTACAATAACAAACAATTGACAATAAACTAATATAACATGATGACACTTTTTAAGGTATGTTTCTGAATGGCAATGGGACTCACTTGTCTCTGCCCGGCCTGAGTTTGACCTGGAAGACACCAATGACAGGCCGATGGTCTGAGGTCTTGATGCCGGAGCAGCTGGTATACTTGATCACTTTTATGTCATCAGCCTGCCTGTTCCTGAACAAGATCCTGTCCTGTGAACACAAACACAGAGGTTTGACCCTACTGAGAGCCACAGGATGCTGACTTAAACTGTCCTGGTCAGTTTAAACTTTAATTAGTGCAGCAGAAATGTGTATAAGAGTGATATAAAGTGTCTACCAGCAAATGTTGGGCTTATTTGGGGGGCTATATTAACAGAGTATCTGATTATTTTTAGGCAGGTGAAGATTAATTTTCTTACTGTGTATGAAGGCGTCCTCTGTTTAGAAGTTGTGTCGTAGATATCACAGCCGATATCCAACTTGTATGTGGGGAGGAAGTGTATTGGTGCCTCTTGGAAGCCTTTAAAGATTGAACCTGGAGGGGAAATCAGCACATTCACAGGGTGAGAATCAATCCAGCAACAACCTACCTGTATAAAAACCTTTCTAAATGTTTGTAGGTGTTCACAGAGATTTAGGCTCCTACATGCAAGCATAGGATGGGACAGGATAGAAAGCATACCGTCATTCATTTCCTTGGATAGCTGGTCGTGCTCCAACAGTGGGCCCATATCTCCGTTGACTGTGCGGTTCATGATGGTCTCCACATCTACTCGGTCCTTACTCAGCCGAAAGTTAAAATCTCCAAACCAGAAGACCTGATCGAATCTTGTGGTGACGTCAGCTACAATTAACAATGACATGATAATCAAATATTGCCATTATTCTTACCAAAATCAAGGCTTTAATCCAAACTAAGTATGAATAACAATACATTAACGGACAAAAACAGAGATTCTTATTTTCAGGTGATTATAAACTATTTAAAACACACTTATAGATATTATCTTAAATGTTACACACTGGACCTTTAACACAGAATATGAGGCTACCTGTATGTTTAAGTTTGATCATGTAACAGTTTTTTTTCCAGCTCTGGGTGCAGAAAGACTACCATCCTAATACATTTTTCACATCCTTCACACAAGGCAACGTAAAAGAGTCTTACATGGTGTGGAGCGGTAAGGGTTGGTGTCTGGAAGGCCTTTTGGAAGAGCTAGAGCCTCGACGATCTTGTTGTAATCTAGTATTCTCTCATAAACTTTGGCATCTCCAGCTGGAAGAAGAACAGAATAACACATTAGAAACATGGGAGACTCTTACAGAGTGTGTGCATAATGTGTAATATTTTCAATGTACATGCCAGTATGCTGAAGACGTAAAAACAGTAACATTAGTGTTTCTTTTCCACTTTGACACTTTTCCCCTCATAACAGAAGTGAAAACAAATCACTGCAGCCTCCCTGACTTTGGGGAAACCTCCTACTCACAGGTAAAATGGGATGTGATGAAGAGGAAGGAAGTGCCAAAAAAGGTAAAGGCAACTCCCACCGCCCCTTTGGTCTTGATCTGAGAGATGATCCTGGTTGTGACCGTGGCATGCTCCACCTCTGTGTGGGTGAACAGAACAAATGTTGTGGTTAAGATAATATCCCAACAATCTGCACTACACAAAAGTTACATCTTTGTTTCCTCCCAAACTGTTGTTTATTTCCTGTATTATGTGAACCCGGACTGACCTGAGCAGAACCAGATGAGATCTCTTCTGACAAATACAGTAAGATACAAAACACCATGGGATGCTGCATACAGCATGACGTAGTAAGGTCCCAGAGTCTCCTGAAGACGGGTCTCCCACTCCCTCCTTCACACACAATAACACAACAACTTTACATCCCTGATAGAGTAATCAATCATACTGACTCACTTTAATTCAGTGGTCATGATGAAAATCAAAACAAAAAATAACATACCTGTCAGGACAACCCTCCTGGACCCCAATGATATAAAAGTCTTGTGCAAATTCAGAGTCTGTTGGTAGGAGGAGATCATCTAAGTTGGCTGGAAGTCCCTGGAAAAATGACAGGAACTTAAGTTACAACTCAGTTGGAGCCTGAACCTGAAGACTTTAAACGGTTCTTGGTCTGTGAGATGCTGCAGAGTCCTGATTTCCCTCTACCTTCTCTCCCTGCATGTTCCATGTGGCTATGTAGAGGCCCACTCTCCTGTCTGGGAAGTAGCGATCCAGCTCCTCAGCACCGAGCAGGGCGCCGCTTCCCAGCAGGCTGCCCTCCAGAAAGCTCCTAGAAAGCACGCATGGGAAAGGATTATAAGCACTTCTGTTGGCCACCATCCCCTTTTCTTTTAAAGATGTGAGCAGTGCACACATACAATGTAAAGAGAAATTAACAGTCTGTTGGTGTTACTTACTTACTACTACTTAACACTCACTCCAGATAGTGAACCAAGCTCCAGATGTGCTATGCTAATCAGCTCCAAGCAGCGGGCACAATCAATACGAAAAAGCTTGTAGTGGATATAAGATACTGTACCTAATTCTCATGCAGTGCCTGTGCATAGTAACTTTCTAAGAGTAATTTTCTTTTGGTATAAGGATAAGGTAGGTTGAAGCCTGGCCAGAGCTCAGACTGACTCACTTTATGTTGTCACTGGTCTATAAATATAACTTAGGACCTTAGCTATCCTTGAAAGAGACCGCACTCTAACAGCCTTCTGACACAGCCTTACAAAACAGCCCTCACTTCCTGAAGGGACGACTCATACTGTACCTGTTCCTCACATCCTGGGGTCTGATGGGGCTAAGCACACTGTAGGTGGACCTCATGGAGTTGACAGAGGCACTATCCGACCCCATGGTCTCCAGAAGCCGGCTGTCGCTCAGGTTCCTGTGGAGTCTCTCTCCGAGCTTCTCTCTGGCCAACATGGCATAATCCAAACAATCCCTGTCAATCCTATTAGCCGCCCTTAAAGTGGCTGACGCAAAGCTCTTCTCCAGAGCAGGCAACGGCCCCGTGGGTTGCACAGGAGACAGACGCACCTTGGTGGACCTCATCCGGTGGTCTGTGGGGTCGCTCTGCTGGCTGGGGGGCCTCCTTTCATAGTCAGACAGACTGCTCCCCCTGTCCCGGAAGACTGGGGATCCTGTCGTAACAGCAGAGCGGGGTCTCACATTGGAGTCCTGGTCATTCTTGGTGGTGGCAGCACCGCTGAGAACAAGCCCACCTGGAGCTGGAGCTGTTTGGTTGTCTTTAAGCGAGTCTGTGGAGGAGCCAGTCTCAGCAGGGTCACTCAGACTCTCCTGGCTGTTTCTCAGCCACCTGTTTCTCACGGTCTCCTCCACTGAGCTGCTTTTGCTGGATTTTGACAGCCGCGGCAGTGAGGGTGGCCGAGGCTGGTGTGGTCCGATCTCTCCCTCTGTGTTTTTTTTAGCAGTAAATTTAAGGGCATCATTGTGTTCCTTGCACAATTTGGCATCTTCTGAGGAGGTTGCGAGTAGCCTGCTGTCACTGACAACTGAATCTCCTTTACCAGCAACTTCACAGGA